TTCAAAGTGCTTTACAAAAAATGAAAGACATTAAGAAAATGGCATCTAAAATCAGTCATTAAAAATAAAAGCTAATAAAATAAACATTAAAAGAAAAAATACATGGATAAAAGTTACAGTGCAGTCTAAGATATGAATAGTTCAATTAAACATTAAAAGAAAAAGTACATGGATAAAAGTTACAGTGCAGTCTAAGATATTAATAGTTCAATTAAAAGCAGCGACAAAAAGAAGTCTTCAGCCTGGATTTAAAAGTAGTCAGAGTTGCAGCGGACCTGCAGGTTTCTGGGAGTTTGCTCCAGATATTTGGAGCATAATAACTGAACGCTGCTTTACCATGTTTAGTTCTGACTCTGGAGACAGAAAGCTGACCAGTCCCTGAAGACCTGAGAGATCTGGATGGTTCATAATTTAGCAGGAGGTCAGAAATGTATTTTGGGCCTAAACCATTCAAGTGCTTTATAAACCAGCAGCAGTATTTTGAAATCTATTCTTTGACACACAGGAAGCCAGTGTAAAAACTTCAGAACAGGAGTGATGTGATCCACTTTCTTAGTGTTAGTGAGGACTCGAGCAGCGGCGTTCTGAATCAGCTGCAGCTTCCTAATATATTTTTTAGTGAGACCTGTGAAGACACCATTGCAGTAGTCGAGTCTACTGAAGATAAAAGCATGGACAAGTTTTCCAAATCCTGCTGTGACATTAGTCTTTTAATCCTAGATATATTCTTTAGGTGATAGTAGGCTGATTTAGTAAATACAATCAAATTAAAACATGCAACATACATTACTGGAATACTTAAATAAATAAAAAGACAGAACAATAAAACAAAACAAAAGAACATGTTGTGACGACCCCTCCCCCCTTCTGCCTGTCTGTGCTCCCTGCCTTGCTGTCCTCTGGCAGGTACTGGGAGTGTCGTCCTGTTTGTGCCCTGCTTGCCCAGCTGGGAGGTTAACTTTCTGATCCTGATCCTGGCCTGCTGCAGCAACCTCAGCCTTCCACCTGTGTTTGTATTTTCACAAATAGAATAAAGATTAAAGAATCTTTAGCCTCCGTGGGATAATCCAGTCCAGATTTGATGAGTGTAGGTCTAGTGGTTTTAGATCAGGACCTGGTCTAATGTGGTCTACATCTAAAAAAAAAAAAAGCACTGAAATCTCCCTTTTTTGTATTTTCACAAATAGAATTAAGGTTTCACAAATCTCAAACTGTTTTTATAAAAGAATCTTTAGACCCTCTGGGATAATCCAGTCCAGATTTGATGAGTCTAGGTCTAGTGGTTTTAGATCAGGACCTGGTCTAATGTGGTGAAGATGCGAAAAAAGCACTGAAATCTCCCTTGACAAATTTGTGTATCTTGAAATTCATTTATTTGACAGAGCTGGAAACTGATTGACTTAAAATACTTGTTTGTCTTTACCTACACAGTCATCACAGATGAGCCAAACAGAGTAGAGGATGAAGAAAGGAGAACAGGAGAAAGGGACACATAAGAAGGAGATACAACAGTTAAGAACAACAATGAACAGGAACATCAGAACAGACAGGGAACAGACAGTGCGCGGAGAAAAAAAAAGAAAAGTTTTAACAACATGTTTATTTATTGACTTTTCATTCCTGTATAATCATTTTGAGCAAAGATGGCACTGTTTGTCAGAGCTCGTTGAGTTGAGGTGACATGCAACAACATTAACATTAACCTTTCTGTTGGTCGCTTGTTAGCAGACCCTTCACGCGATGGCAGAGCGAACAGGTACAGGCAGGGACCATAATGATAGCCCTATAGTTTAAATCTACTACCCACACATGAACATATGGAAATGGGTTACTATTTAAAAAAATTAATGTATTTATAAATGTATTTAGGAACCTATCCATGTGATTTTTAGTGGGGGTCAACCTCAAATCCTCTAGGGGGGTCCAGGGGCATGCCCCCCCGGTAAGATTTTATTTTGGAGTTAAATGCATCAATCTGGTGCATTTTGAGGGGAAAATAAAGAGACTATCTATGGAAACACCTATATTAAACAGAACTGTATACATTTCAATAATCATAAAATCATGGCCATAACCAATAACATGAAACTTGTTTATTAATTTATTTTTGGTTAATTTATAGTTGTGAGTGTGTCTGTGCTCCTGAATCAGCCTCTCCTGTCTCCCTCCTCTCCCCCCTGCTCCTCTGTGAGGCAGCAGCAAAGACTAGTTTTCTCTCAACAAGTTTTAAAAGTGTATCTTACCTTTTTTCACCTAGTTAACTTTATTTATTTATTCATGCATATTTTACTAATCACATTTCATTTAGCTGACGCTTTTATCCAAAGCGACTTATAATGACCGATTACAGGGACATTCTCTCTGGAGTAACTAAGGGCTAAGTGCCTTACTCAAGGGCACACTGGTGGTGGTGTTCCTGGCGGGATTTGAACTCACAGCCTTCCGATCTTCAGCCCACTTCACTATCCATTAGACCAGTGTTTCTCAAACTTTTTCATACCAAGGACCACTTAACCAATAAAAAAACACTCGCGGACCACCTAACTCCACAAATATCCAAAAACACATCGTTTTTTACAAATCGCCTGAAAATGGTACTAACAAGTGGCAACATGTGTGATGAAGGTGTTTATCTGGGCTATATCATGCAATCAAGAGTTAAACTGAAGCTCGCTCCATTGCGGAGATATTCCCGCGAGAGTGCGGAAAACTCAAATTAATTAATTAATTTCAAATGTGAAATTGTACCAATATACTCACGGACCACTAGGGGGCGCTCACGGACCACCAGTGGTCCGCGGACCACACTTTGAGAAGCACTGCATTAGACCAATCACTACCCTATCAAATGGAAATATGTGTTTACATAAATGGTGGCCACACCGTTTGAGACCCACTGAGAACTTAGACTAAGTTAACTATCTAAACACTCAGAGAGTCCTTTACCTCACCTGAGCTGAGGTTATCCCGAGCTTGAATGACACACAGAGACCAATCAAGGGCTTTGATTTATGATCTGTATGACAGTGGCCATGTCGGCAGGCCACATCATGTGGACAGCCAGTCACTCTGTGTGAGGCAGGCCACTTAACAGGCCAGAAGGAGGCGAGATCAGAGCAAGGGAGCGAGGGATCATTGTCCACAAGTTAATCGAACGCAGATGGCGTCGTGGTCACGGACGGAAAAAAACTAAACTAAATGGCTCGCGAAATATACTTGGGCGGCCGTTAATATACCTGGGCGGCTCGCCCAGGTATAGTCTATGTGTGGGAAACCCTGGAATGTGGCAAAGTCCACACCATTTACATGTCATTTAAAAAAAAAAATTTTTTTTTATAAAAACACTTGTATTTGGATGAAATGATTACCTATAGTGATAATAAAATTATTTTTACAGTATGGTACCTGAAAAAGGTCAAATGGCACTGATGGTATCCAAATGTGCCCAAAGGTCCGCCTGGACTACTTTTTGCTAAACCTCTCTAAAAAGGCCTCAATCTTGATACAGGGTACTTATTATATGTTATACTTTGGATTCCTAAAGCTTTTAGTCTACCATACCATCATTCAAGGGTGGTTTTCACTATAAGTAATGGGGGTTTTTTTTAGGCGGAGGTAAGAATTTACCTTTTTTTTCATCTGAATTTACTCTGACACAGAAACATCTATATTGATTCTGACACTTCTACATCCAACTCACAGATGTAACCTTGCTTTGATAAAATAAATTATTCATATAACCCTTTTAGAAGTTAAGTTATAGTCATTTGTTTTGGGCATAGCATTTTTGAGCCTGAAACCTGAAAAACAGGCTCAGGGCTTAAGAGGTTAAGAGATCCTCACATGCTATCTCTTTTAAAAAAGAAGTGTCCAGTCAACAACAAAATATCAGTGATTATATAGTGATAGTATATTTTTCATAAGCGATGTGAAACATTAAACTTAAAAAAAACTCTGTGAGGGCCTAAGATATTCTACAAAATAATATTTAAAAACATTTTAGTTATATTTTTCATTAGTTTTACCAAAATAACTTGATTTAATTGTATTTAAAATAACATTTCCAAAGAAATAAATCCTTCGTATCCGCCTATTCAGTTTCTGTTGGAATGTGAAGTGTTAAATGAAAGAAGCCCCTCTCTGCGAGTCTGTGAAGACAGGAGCTGTTGGGCGTCCACTCCAGCTATGAATTCACAGAGGGCCCGCTACGGCCCCTACACTAAAACTAAACTAAAACGAGAGAGTAATGTCAAATGACAGTACAATTGACCAATCATATCTTCCCTCTAAATGGGTGGGTGTTATTATCGCGGACTTTATGACAAGTTCCGCCCGCTGTGCAACTTTTCTTGTTTCCATAGCAACAACAACTTCCTGTCAACAGCGTTAACTCGCCTTCAAAATAAAATCATGCCAAATTACACTTAAGACATACAACTGCAACGAAAGTAACAAACACAATGCAATATCCTTTTCAATTTCAAAGAACACAAATAGGGTTATTTACAGGTGTTGTTTTGTGTGGTAGAGGGTCGCTTTCATTGATGCGTTTTGCACCCCGGGCCGTTGTTTTTATATTCCGCTGAAGTATACGCTGCTGTGACATAATAATTCGAGGGAAGGGGTGGGGGTCAGAGGGCCTAGGTATAAAAGTCACGGCTCGCCACTGCAAATAGCCAATCACACAAACAACATGTTGCTGTGACTGTGAGCATTAAACAATTAACATTAAACTAAACAAACACAACAGTACGTGATTGTCCTTATAAAATAAAAACATACATTTTGTCCACCGACATAATATAGGCACCTTACCCTCAAGAGATCCTCACGTGCTATGAGAATCTCCCACAATCCATTGCCGTAACAAAGCTAATGCAGGCATATGTTTGTGACACTAGATGGCGCAATTGTGTATGTGCGTGTGGGGAGTCTTGCAGTAGAAAATTCGACTGTAGCGCCGCCACTGTGGGCTAAGCCCTGAATGTTTCCAGGTCCAGGCGACACCCCTGGCAAGAGCTAAAAAAGGTGAGTGAAACTGATTATTCAAAGTATTTTCATCCCTTTAGTATTGTAGGCTTGAGAAAGGAGACTGAACTCTGTCTAGGCAACTTCCAGTGTTATTATAATCATGTATGTCGTTTTTGGAGACATTTGTGTTGTTTTTAACCAATACATTTAGAATATAAGCTACCCTTTTGTTCTTGTTCCTGTTGAGAAAAATGAATACTGTGTAAATGAAATTATTGTTTTGCACCTGTATATTATAGAAAATAACACTTATGTTTACATATTCCCTAATTTTTTCAGGTCACATTTGATCTATATGATGGAGCCATTGGATTTGTGAATATAAGAAATGTGCATTGGAAGTTTGTGGTGAGTATCAGCTACTCGTGTAGTCATACTGTAGCTGCTTTTACAGCATGTATGTTTTGCTCAGGGTTTGCACATTTGAAGTTCATCAACTATTACTTTGAAGATGTATGATTACATTTATTCAAATGCATACAACTAGATATACATTGCTATTAAAAAATATTGTAATGCATTACTCATATGCTGTGACAGAGTTAAGACTAAAATGTGTATCTCATGCAGCCTCATTTTGTAAATGCATCTTTGCCTCAGGATTGATTTAAAAATGCTTCTTTTAGTTTTAATGTCTTCATGTTCTTCATCTATATCATAGGGAAACAATATAAAATGTAGTCCAAAATAAGTACTCATTCAAACATTTCTCATTGGTGGTCGCTACTGCTCCACTAAAGATTTGAGTCTTCTCTCCCCAAATTGTGCAACTTTCTTTCATCTGATCTGACATCTTTAATTATTTCAATACTTTTAAGTCTTAATTATACCCATTTAAAATGGGTAGTTATTATTTTAGTATTACTTTTAATAGCTTTTTTAACAGTTGAAGTGATTTTAATAATGTGAATCTATTAGTTAACTGTGGTTTTCATTTTTGAAGAAAAGCTGATACATTATTGTTGCTGCTGACATATTGAAAAAGGTTTGGTTTAATTATACCGTATGCTACTTTTTAAAACAGTACCTCCATGCCCTTTCAAACCACATTTATGTGGTTGATCCTCTGCAAGGGTCAAATGAAGTTGAGGACTCCAGAAAGGCTGGTTACAATTTTGGGTAATATAAAATATATTACAGGAAATACATTGGTTAAACGCACATTTGGTAAAGGCAAAGAGTAAGCGCCAATTACTTTTTTTTCCCCTATTGTTCTATAGAGAGTATTTCAAGATGCGCCGGAACAGACTGGGAAAAGAGGACTGGGTTAACATCAAATGGCAGCCTGGAAAAATAACCCACACCTTCCAGAAAGATGCCACCAGTTGTGGAGCCTTTGTCATGCAGGTGATTCAATGCAACATGTTGTGTTCATTAATAATAAAGCATTTTATTTTAAAGGGAAATTCAAACACACGTCATAACGTCATGTTATTTTACCATCTGTCCAGATGGCCAAGATGACAATGACTGGCTTATCTATAGCCAGTTGAGTAGCACTTGAAATGTTTGACTCTATGAAACCTGATGTACTTATATGATTCTGTTTTCTTCAAGGTTGTGTCTTCCTGGTCGAATGTACTTATTGTAAGTCGCTTTGGATAAAAGCGTCAGCTAAATGCAATGTAATGTAATTTCCTAAAATTCCACAGACGTTTCACATCAAGTCATCAAAACAATGTCTTCAACATACAGTATACGAAGAGACATGGAAGAAGAAATTCTCAAAGGATCAGGTATTAGCCAAAAATATGAAATGAATATATGGATGGCTTCCTGTAAATTGAACAGTAATACACCGGTTATTTTTTCAGTTTCAAAGGATGACTTCTGTTCCTTCTGTGGAATTGAGGATCTGCCCACAACTGCTGTTGATGCTGTTTGGGTGAGGCTAAATGATGAATTATTTTGAAACTCCAGAAGATCATCTGAATAGTAGATAATAGATCATCTGGAGTTAGATTTCAGGAATAACATAAAAGTAATGACATTTTGTATATTTTTATGCATTACAGGTTTCCTTTTGTTTTTCTTATAATTTGTTAAAAGTTTTAGCACAGCACAGAGAAACCTGAATAACAACAAGTATTTATATATATATATATATATATATATATATAAAAAAGTATAATCTCTATAAAATATAAATGAATATGCCTGCTTTACAAGTGTCCTACACTTTACATTTTCTTAATATCTTTGTTGTATTTATCCCCATGTAGATTCAGTGTGAAACTTCACACGCAGTGCCTCGGAATGACTGCTGCACGAATACCCAAAAAAAAGATCCCGTGGTATTGTGTGTTGTGTATCCTCCCAAACTAAAGAGGCTATAGGTGAGTTTGTGTAACTTTTACCAGAGGTACCAGGATTTGGGGAGGTAAGGCTTGTAGTTTGAACTACTACCACAGTAGAAGTAGTGCGCTTACAAACGGCATGTGGGGGGAAATCCAGCCCAGCCAGTGATTTGAAATCGGCAAAATGAAAGCTACATTTTGTACAAAACAAACAAAAATCCAGAAAAAAGCTTTGCTAAAGATTTTGGGCAACTGAAGTAATGATTAATAATCACCTGTCCATAGTTTTAAATTGTTATATTCTTAATTAAGATGTTAAATATATTTTCAATTACAGATTAAAGTAGTCACAGATGTTCATGATGTTTTCCATGTCTGACATTAGATTGTAGATTTGTTCATTAATATTGTACAGTAAGATAGGTGAAAAGCCTGAAATGTTTTATTTTTCAATGTTAACTTTATTTTGTCAGTCTGTTCCATCTTTCACCAGTAGTTTTCCATTCACCTGTCTCACCTGTTAACCACACCCACGTTTTTGCTCACTCTCTTTCTCTTCTGCACCCATTAGCTTCACTGCCAGTATTTAAACCCTCACCAGACACACACCCGTTGCCAGATCGTACTTTGCCTTCATGCTAGTCTTTCACATGTTTGTTATCAGATTGCCTACCCGGTTCCGACCCTGCCTGTCCCCGACCGGCCTGCTCTGCCTGATCCCTGATCCTGCCTGTCCTTGGACTATCCTGCCTCGCCTGCTCCCTGACCCTGCCTGTACCTACGTTGACCACCCCATCTGCTCCCTGACCCTCTGCCCGGCCCTGACTCACCTTCTGTCCGCTGTCCTCTGGTTCGTTTGCCTGCACATCATCCGGCTGATACTGTTCTGTTATCCCTCTGCTCTGGTATTATTACCAATAAAGTTCATTACCAATACTCCTTGGTTTCTCGAGTGCTGCATTTGGGTCCTTCATAAGATTGTGACCATTTTACTGTTTCATAGCTAATGAAAAAGTTATTTTATGTCTTAATTTATATATAACATACTGTATATACAATGTGTAACATTGTATATACAGTATGTTATAATACATTATAAATCTTCCCCAAAATGATTCCAAACCATACTATTCCAAACTCTCTGCTGTAGTATGACCACCAGGAGACTATTGATGTGTGTAGTGAGTTTGGTAGAAATATACTGTATAATAGTGAAGTGATTGAATATTATTGTATTCTCTTTTTTCGGAGTTGCACTTTGCAGACGGTCCCTGAGCACACGTTTCTTCTCCGGCTGCGGATAGAGACCAATGTAATGTGTCCAGCTCGGAGGACGGCGCATATTGGCTTTTTTTGATCAACATGCGATTGTAGTTCGTTGTCAACCTTACCACGGTACATAGGAGACGTATCTGTGTCTGAATAACGTTTTGTTCATGAGTTATTGATCCGTGAAATCCGAATCTGCCAATATCGTTCTAACTTTACTCAACTGTAAACTCTTTAAACTGTGCAACAAGTGAGACAGCGTCCTTTTTTCTTTGGATAAAAAAAAAGGCAGTAAAGACGAGTTTTTATTCTAATATAGCCTGCTTCAATTGTTTGCTCGCATTCTATTTAAATGTTAATGCGATCGGTGTATATCTACCAGCTCGACTCGGCAGACGTATAGCCTCATTTATATGACGACGATAGTCTAAACTTTAAGTGACAAAATATAAAACAAATTGCAGACTTCATGAATGTATTATTAAATAAATCCTTTAATTTGATTGATTCACTATAAAAGTAGGGCGTGCAAAGTCAGCAGTAGATTTTTTGACTCATTTTTAAACACATTTACATTCAAATCTCAATTTTTTTAAAAAGCTCATTCCAACTAATGTATAGGTGCCGGGTGGCGGCTCGTGGAGGCGCATTATCTGCCGCGCTTAGGCGGTCACAAGACTTGGAGATCGGTGAGCAAAAACATCGACACGCTGTCAGGTCAGCCAGAAGCGTACAGGCCACATATTCTTCTCTGACTCCAACATCCAACAAGTTGCTTTTCTGGAAAACTACTTTCCTGCGCGCTCCTGCGCCACGGTCTTTTTATCAATGGATTTGTTACTGGGAGTTTTTTTTTTAGGTTTTAAATCATTATTCTGTACGTAAAACGTATTTTTATCTTGAGCTCAATATTTCTCTAAAACTACACAACTAGTGATGTTTTGGTGCGTAAAGGAGGGGCGCATGCCAATAGCGAATGCCACTGGATGAAATTACACCAAAGATGTCAACATTGCTTTGCCACCCCACACGAAATCGATTGTATTAGGTGGCTCCTCGTATAAATAGGGACGCGTTATTTCAAGAAAGACGGTGGTGAGCACAATCTGCTGTTCTCTCTCTCTCTCTCTCTCTCTCTCTCTCTCTCTCTCTCTTCTCTCGCTACTCTATCTCTCTCTACTCTCCTCTCTCTATCGCTCCTCTCATCTCTCTTCTCTCTCTCTCTCGCTCTCTCTCCCTCTCTCTCTCTCTTCTCTCTCTCTCTCTTCTCTCTCTCTCTCTCTCTCTCTCTCTCTCTCTCTTTCTCTCTCCTGTCCGGACCTCAGACAACGCCTGGAAGGATTTTGCTGAAGACAACTGTGTCCACTCTCCAGGACATAAGCAACTTTACCTCCTAAACTAGTAAGTCTAAAGTTACATTCACTTTATTACCTTCCCCTTCACTGCTGCCTAAGTAGAGTACATTATATAATGTCTGGTGATTCATTCCACTTGTTTGTATGTAACCTCTAAAAATGTTGTTGTAATTGTAAAGATGTGAGACATTTCTAAAGGCAAGCAATCCTGATAAGTCTGGTGTTAAGACAAAGTGTACAGCTATCATTCAGTGTTTTTATTTAAAAATATTTAAACAGACTCAATAGAAAGCACCTGTAACAAAACTTGTTTGCTCTTGTTTCCAGACAGTGAAGTCATGCAGGTGGAGAGGAAATGGCACATTCTGTTTACTATATTCTTTTTGCTCATCACCTCGGGCCAGTGTATGGACAGCAAGGTCGTCAAGCAGAAAGAAAGAAGGACCCTGTTGGATCTAATCTTACAGGTTATCAGAGAAAGCCAGCAACGGGACAAAACCGTCTCCAGACGCTGTAGCAGTGGACTCTTCACTTCAGCACAAGACATGAAGTCCACCTCCCGTGAAAAGCCTTTCTATGTTCATAGGCTGGATAACAGTAGACTCATAGGTAAGCTGATAAGATTTATTTTTAGGACCTGATCATGAAAGTATAATCCCCATTTTGCTGTGGGAGACAGCTGTCATTTGTCTGTACATCTTATTTAGAAGTCGGTTGACTTGGTGCATGCATGTTAATTCAAGATTAATAGAGCATAAAATAAGTTTTGCCAAGTTATAAATGTTATTTTTGCAAGAATGTGCTTAAAAGACAGCGTCCATTGCTCAGATCCTTCAGTCTTAAAAGGTCCTACTACGCATGTAATATAGGCTGGCTTTGTCTTTATCTTAGCCATGTCCAATGTGTCATACTTGGTGTTATAACTACTAACAGATACATTTTCACCACTGTCTTAGACACATTGCACATTGCAAGTGATTGATGGACAGATACGTGGATAGGTACTATAGGTACTCATGTAGGAGGAGCATCGTTGCACCGAACTTGTGAATGATTCATTCAGTGTGATTCATTATGAAATCTCGAACAAGAATGATGAACACCCACGCACGCACACAAACACACTGTGACGTCCCAGAAAGCGTCTCCAATCGCAAGCATCTCCGCGAGACATATCAGGCACAGCCGAGAGACGAGACTGTGGTTGAGTCACATTCATGTAATGTACAGCGCAGTATCAAAGCCCCTCCTTTAGACTGTGAGGAGACTTTAGAACCGGCCAGTCCAAGTTACTGATTCCAGCTTCTGAAAAAATCATCTTGGTGCAGCTCAGACTTTATTGGCTCAAATAAATCATTATGTCCGGACTGGAATGAAGCCAGTAAAGTATGTGAGTTTAATAAGAGCCAAGTGAACATGATGTGTTGTTTATCTGCAACCTCAGATTCTCTCTTCCATCACTGTCCATTAGATCATGTTTCGAGAGGTTGCACAGGCATTGTAAAGCTCAAAGTCTCGGCCCCAGCTTAAGTACCTTTCTCAGACCACTGACTGGATGGAATTTATCTTTTGAGGATATTAAAAGCTGCATATTAGCAACTGGTGCGTGTGACACTTCCAAAAGATCCATGTTCACGCAATGATAGATGTTTTGAACACAATCAGGGGGAAGGAGAAACATCTGTAAACCCACTGATGTGTTCACCCTGTAGTTGGTTTTGCGTGTTACTCAAAAGCCATTGCTGTGTCTTCATAATGACATCTTGATCGTACACAATGAGGGGGATGCAGAAACATCTGTAAACCCACTGATGTGTTCACCCTGTTGTTGGTTTTGCGTGTTACTCAATAGCCATTGCTGTGTCTTCAGAATGACATCTTGATCGTACACAGAGAACAACAGGGAACCGTTTATTTCGGTTTGATCTGTTACGGTTTCTCTTTTCACTGGTACGCCACAAGATTTCAGCTTTAGCCTGGCACCCTTGACCTTTTGTATATAATTCTTTGTTGACATGCATTTATTAATGCCCGGTAAAATACCAATAAACTCATAAAGTACAAATCGCATTAACTGGCTTTGTGTACCCAGGCTGCCACTTTCAATGTTCACATCTCGGTCTTTTGGTTTTGGCTTAATGGCTCATGTCTACATCTCTTTTTAGAACAATAAAATCTATCGAGTTTCCAATAGGTGTGTTTGTCCTTTTTCATTTGGCTTAGTTGCCTTGATTATTTTGAGTTTGAATACATTTCCAAAAGATCCTTTGCTAGTTTTTTAATTGGCCAAATTGTTCTCTTTCTTCCTCTTCCATACAGTTACAGCGCTACAATGGTCTGGGGGATAATTTAACGTCAGCACTGTATGCATGCATGGATTTATTCTGATAAGCATTAAACTCCCAAACAATAATCTCTTTAGCTTGTTTGAGTTGCCAATATGGATTTTGTGTTGAAAAGAGTGGGGGTGGGGGTTACCATTACCCATGAAAAACCCCGACTGACACCAGTGACATTGACAATGACAATCATCGTCATCATAACGACTGTGTGACTATTTTAAGTTCTCACTTGTTGTAAAATGATTGTTGATAGACAAGCTAACAGTGATTTTCTTTTCCAGAAATTGTTCCTAGAGATGTAAACATGAAAGGAAAATTCATTCAGCATTTCACAGGTAAGAAAATCACAATCGCAACAACATAATGAGGGTAAAGTTTCAACCTTGATTGCATTTCACTGACGTCCTTTCCAGACATTGCAAAACTATTTTATCTAGAAAACCTTTCAGAGCATAGTTGTCACGTTTCCTGTGCAATTTTTGGCTGGAAGTTCTTAGTTCTTAGGTTACCCTTTTTAGAAAATAATTCCTGTAGGACAACAAACAACATACAGTATGCTTAGGTGTTGGGAGGTTCATTAACACTGGAACTGCTGTTGGTCAGAAAGAGGTTTGGTATTAGAAATATGGGGCAGCAGTGCAGAGAAACAGCACATGGTCTAAAGCCGACAGAATTAAGTTGAAGCCAGTGCAAGGTTAAGCTGATTATTTGTCTCAGGTCCTGTGAGTAGACTTCATTATTGGTGTGAAAATCTGAAAGTTTAAATGTTGGTTCAGCAACTCTTAGAGGTGATTATATCTTAAGACTCAAGTCCTCTGTTCACTCAGTCCAGTTGAACCCTGACTCCTTAACCATGTCTGCGATAGTGTACTGCACACTGTGGATCACACACAAATGCACCTAACTGAGAATTTGTTATGCAGTACAAGCCTGCAAAGTAAAAAAAAGCCCTTGAAATATGTTTTATGTTGCCTGATAAGACCTTTTCTATTAAGCAGGACCAGTCAAGTTCTCGTCGGAGTGCAGAACACACTTTCATAGACTTTATCATAACACAAGGGATTGCTCAAGACCAGCATGTACGTATGATTTTTTTCCTCTCGTGTTTAAAATGTATTCCAAGAGCAAATGTTTTCTGCTTTTTTCAATCAGATTCTTACTTTGAGTGGTTCCCATATGCATTTTTTTTCTGTTGCCATTGTTGGAACAGTATTAGTTATGTTTTACTGAGTTAGGTGGGGGGTTTGTTTCTTTCTTGTTGTGCTCTTTTTACTGGTTTTAAATGGGTGGGGCTTCACTGCAAAAAAGGTTGAAAATGTGACGTACTTCCACTCATCGATCAGGATTTAGCAATATTTTAATCAAGATGTGATCCCAGTTGGTTGAGCCATGCCTACAATGAGACTAACTGAGTTTTTGAGTGCTAAAAAATGCAAGAAAATTCAAAGTTTACGTTTTTTTCTCAACTTTGACTCTTGACTTTTGGCATTTTTAGTCATAAATACATTAGAACATTTTAGAATCAAGTTTTAAAGACCTTGGCAACCATTTTGACATGCAGATTAATGTTCAATACTGACATTTGAAGAGTTTCTACTGAATGTAGTCAGGCCTTGTTAAAATGCTGTCCAAAATTTAAAATATCATATTAATGCTCTGTCAAAATAAATATGGATCTAAAACAAAATGATCAGCTGTTTTACATATTACAATTGTTTCTTACTGACCAATTACCACAGGTTGCATATTTCTGTGATTTGCAAGAAGCTCAACCAAAAAGTTGCTTTTAAAAATATGTTTTACCATGCATTGCAACCCCTTGAAGAGACCCAAAACCTTAGGTTGGGAACCAAGCACCCAGAGCTATAACCACAGTTAGCATACTGATGGAGCAATCATTCTTTCTGGGATGTTTACATCTGGGAATTAAGTAGATGACGTCAATAAAACATCAGAAAATGATTGTAGACAATTCTCCCCAGTGACAGATGGATATCTGTTGGTTACACTTGCCTTTATTGTGGACAGAGTAAATCAAAGAGAGAAGCTCATCTTGTTGTGCTGCGTCGTGCATCTGTGAGGCAGTCATGTAAGCATCAAGTCAGACTTAAGGCATAATAATATCCTGCTGCGACATACGGTAGGTAGTTCAGTTTTAGTCAGACAAGGAGACGGTGTGGACACATTCAGGATCCATTTGTTAGACTGGAATGATGTAGAGTATTTTATAATACATGGTTCATTTAATCATGATAATATTACTGATGATATGAGCATGCAGAGCTGCTCCGTCAAATTCACATTGCAACTTGAACTGTTGCTCAACCTCTGACGTCAGTACTGTCATATGTCTTTTTTATTGATTTGAACATTTCCCTCCCTTTGAATGACATTTGAATGTTGAGAACAAGTACGTCATTAACTCAGTTATGACCTGTATCATTGTTTACAGCTGAATTAGTACGTGTAAGGATGTTTTCCTGAAGAATCCAGCTATTTAGAGAGGGAAATTATATTGTGTTGCTTTAATTACAAGGTGGTATGATAAAATCATAATAATATTTTTGTGGCTTCTCTCCAATGTCTTTTTTTCAGATTACAAAAGATGTGCAAGATTGCTAACACGATTAGCAATGAGTCCTCTCTGCATGCAATCGTAGATGTTGCATGTGAGTAAAAGTGTTTTTCCTGGGTGGGGATTAGTTCACTCTAATAACTTGTCAACATCCTTTAAAGTGTCAAAGTACAAATGGTAAATAAATGAATTAGACTAAATAAATGAATTAGACTTATTTTACTGTTAACAAACAATTAAATTAATCCCAATAATGTTGAATACGTATTTAATGGTATGATTTTGCTGTTCTATCGTTTTTTATGTGTGATTTGAAATAATTACAAATAATTGTATCATAGCTGAAGATAACAATTACATTCTGATTACATTTGTAAACGATTAACAGTTTACTATTGCAAACATTATAGCATTGAATATGCTATATTTAGGATTTGTTGATGATTATTGAATGATTTGCAAAACCATACCAAATATCTGCTCCAATAAGCCTTTTAATGTTTTAACTACAATGTCTTGAAGGGGTTATCAAAACATTTGCTAATCATTAACAATTTATGTTTAAATGTTGTGTGCAACAGTCATCTGTTAAAATACCATAAATTAAAACTTTAATAATAATAAGTAAACATTGTTTATCAGAATGTCTTTGTTAACAGTAAAGTAAGTATTATTGAAAGTTTATTAGCTATCAATTTACTATTTATAAATGAGGTTATTTAAAAGAATGAACACAGGTCAACTGTGAGTGTCAAAAATATTCCTACATGCTTCCATTAGACACACTCAACCTTAACACCTCTTTTAAGACAAGGCTATGACTCAGACAATTGCCTGTAGTCATTTTAGACGTAGTCCCCGTCATCCCTTTGTTAGGATGACAGCAGATCTGACCTTTAGTAGGTCAAGATGGAGAGTGATTACTGCGAACAAGTTCATCTACACAGGTGGCCATTTCAGTTTTTCACAGTATAAGATTTCTGGTGAGTATAAAAGCTGAAGTAGCTGACACATTCTCAGGTATTCAGTTTCGCAAGTGAATCAGATAAAATATCTCTACTGTTCTGAGAAATCTGACAAATGTATATCACTATCTACTTTTAAAGGCATATAAAGTGATTCATTATATCATTATTTAGTCATCCTGAATGAGCTTCGGCATACCATCGAGGAAATCCAGCAATGGCAGGCCAGTAATGACCCTCTTAAGAAACTGACGACACTACTCATATAGAGGATGTTAAGATGTGTCTTTTAAAATACCAGACAGTATTCCTCTTGAACACAACTTTCAGAAAGATATTTACTGTGATCTAATTTAGCGTTTTCTTATTTCTTTTCAGGTCCCAACATAATGGAAGAGGGAACATTGTGTTGCCAAGGAAGTGCCTTCAAATCCACAGCAGTCATATGAACATTGTCGAGTTTATTGTGTTTCTATTTTTGTTGTCATTATTGAAATTGCTGATGGACATTGTTGAAACAATGAATGGATGTGCTTTTTATTTTAATGTACCTGTATGTACCATATATTTGTAAGGAACCATTCATTTAATATTAAATACACCTATTTATTGAAATGGTGTGCCTAATAATTTCATAATCATTCAAAATCTGATTATTGTGGTTATAAAAGTCATATCTGGTGGAGAGGAAGCAATTTGTCTCCTTAAATATGAATTTATTGTCTGCTACTATGCTGATATCTTATTCAGAAATTGGTCTGAGAGATCCGTCATCTCTTTCGTTGTCTTCATTACGTTTGATTTGGCACTTGAGTGATTGCTGACAATGAGAACATATGGAATGACAACAGTGGTGATTATGCACTGCAGTATTGAACAATAAAGAATATTGAAGCACAGCACATTTTGCTATTATTGGAGCTGAAGGGAATCAGAGAAATATGAAGAGGATTCAGAATAACTCTGTCAAGTGTTGAAATGAAGGCTCAACATTCATCCCAGAACTCCACTCTGTAAACATTTAAAAAGCGGTAAACAAAATTGGCCTTTGTTACGAACTGGCTGCAGTGGGAATACTGTTTTCTTTTCTTTCTGGCTCGAATATGAATTTATTATTTTTCAGCACCTCATTGAAGCAGCTCTCTTTCCCCGTGCCTTAGATGTTTCCATGGCTTATTTCCCTCTAAAAACAATTTGATGCAAAAGTTCTGGCTGTCAATCGAAGCTGTCAGATCTCTTGGACTCAACAGGATGTTGAGCAATTTGATCTCGAAAGAACCAAATATACAGTACTTTGGATAAGATCAGAAAAGATTAGGGAACGTCTTAAGTAATCACATGTTCAAGGAATTTTACATTTGTAGTTTTTAGCGGAGATTTATTTGTGGAAATACAGTATGTGGTTGAGTGAAATGAATTTTTTGACAGCATTTCTCTGTGTTGGAATTCAACAGACACTAAAATGTAATGGCTGCCACATGTAGAGATTGAGATTTAGGAAAACATTTGAGTGGTCTCAATTTCTTTTTTCCAGAGCTGTACATTTCTCTGTAAGCGGATAATCATTGTTTTACCTTTTTCCCGAGTGTCGTTTGCCTTGCCAAACGTTTGGCAAAGGTTTCTTTTATCCTATAATGAGGTTTAACTATTTCCATCAAACCTGTTCCAGATCATCGTAATCCAATGAAGGAAGTATGTCTGCTATAACAGACCTCCGGCAACAGACCACTTGTTAATGGTTTGAAATCAGATACACTTCGAAACATAAACATAATGTCTAACTTGTGTCAGTAAACAATATGTATGAGATTTGTAAGAGGTTACAACTCACTATCTGATTTCAATGGTAGATAAAGGCGTCAAAGCTGCCATATAATGCGACTCTTGATCATTGTTTATTTCTGCAGGGGATTTAAATGAACTTCTCTTACAGTAACAGGGTGCCCTAAAGTCCTGACACAATAAACAGGATGTAACATTCTTCTTCTTGTCATGTTGTATCATGTGGATAAGTGCCTGGGGAATCGTTACAGTGATTGTTTTAAGGGTGGTGAAATAAATATTGGGCCCTGCACAAATGATGCTGATAGACTATAGGTTCATCAATCAATCAATGTTTATGTATATAGCCCAATATCACAAATGTTACATTTGTCTCAGTGGTCTTCACAGTGTGTACAGAATATCAGTATGACAATACGACACCCTCTGTCCTTAGACCCTCACATCGTGGAAAAACTTCCAGCGAAAACCCACAGTTTAAAGGGAACATGGGAGAAACCTCAGGGAGAGCAACAGAGGAGGGATCCCTCTCCCAGGACGGACAGACGTGCGATAGACACGTGTGTAAATCGAAGAGATAATACAAGGTTCTGAAGGAAACATCCAATAAGCCAAAGATTACAGCAGCTCAGTTCTCACGCCAGCATGTCTCTATAGACTCTGGATTGTGCATTATTCAACACAGTTTGGCTTATTAAGAGATTAATAAAAAAAGCATTCTGGGGAAGTAGTCAGTTCAAAAGGTTGAGCTGAAAATCCATTACAAAAAATCATGATACCTTTGGTCCATGCAGTGTTTCCAATTTTATGTGAGATGGCTCTTGTTCTGAAGGGCCATAAAATGTACAATTGTCTCTCTCCTACAAATCACAGCCTCCTCAGGAGCAACAGGAGAGTCCCTCTAAGAAATGCTCCATCATAACTGCTAAAACAAGGACTTTTTCTGTCACCCTGTATCATGATTACCTTGGACAATTAATGGAAACGGGTGATGTTTTCGGCCCAAGCTATAAAAGGATTAGGAAGCTAAAAATACGACTTTCACCACACAGAGAGGCACTGGGGAACCCTTTCCCTCCAGGTGGGCAGGGCAGGGACACCAGATCCTAATCTGAGGAGGATATCACTTATCTGGAGACAAACAGCATAGATTAGGAGAGGAGACAGAAGATGCTTTGGGGACAGCATGTGGGAGGGCTCTAACACAATTACACACAAGCACCAAATCCCTCCTCTGATACCTCAGAGAAATGCTGGGGCGATAAATAGTAAACAGAGACCAAAGCCGGGCCATTCGTTTCCTGTCAGACTGCACCCGGATGCTCCAAAGCTCCTCAGCAGAGACAAGACACACCTCAATGTTTTAACTAAAAGCTAGTCACAACATCTGCACTGTTCTTTTAAACAGATTGAATAAGATCTACAGCTTTGTTATCCTTTATTCACTATTAGCTGTGATTTTGACCTGACAATGACACCAGTCTTGCAGCAGACGTTGACATTTTTAAGCAAATTCCAGGTCTGAGTAAAACCAGCTCACCGACTAAATGGATTGCCCCGATCCTTGCTTTAATTAATTCTAAATCATACACAGTTTTGTTATTTCATTACCCCTTTGGCACTAAATTAAATATAACACGCGGCAACTATTCAGGGAAGATTATGACGTCTAGCATCCTAACACCTAAACATGGCTTCTTATGACGTATGTCAAACTCCCCCCATCCGCAGAATAATTTTGTGGCAAAAGTAAACACTTTAATCCAATTTCTTAGACCCCAAAGCCTCATTCAAGCAAGAAACCTTATTTATAGCGATTGCAGTAGCCTTGATGGCTATAGAGCTTTTTGATTCACTTCACGTCTCACGATTAATTCATGCCTCTTCATATGTCTTATGTTGAATGCTTGAATCCCTACATGAGTCACCAATAATATACATTGAGATAATACAACCTTCATTAGGGATGAGACAGTTGAAAGATGATTGAATTGTGTTCGTCACATTGAGCATTGAGAAAGGAAATGGAGATGTGATTGACTTTGACAGATTTAATAAAGACAGCAGCTTCTATTGTTTCCTTGTGTCGTTGAAAATATGTTTTGGATAAGTTTTATCCCTACTCTGATCTTTTGTGTACTCTGGTCCACGTTGCAAAAGATAGTTTGATGGGAAGTGAGTCGCTGCCGCTCTGTCTGTGCGCCAGCTGCAGCGTCTCTGATCCCCTGCGCTGGAGGTGTTGGCACGGGGCTGCCTGCCACCCCCTCTGCTGCCCCACACTGATTGTGCTCTGATGCCTGCCATAGCTCAAACATAACTGCAGCGATTAACGGCAAGGCATCTTTCAGCTGAATGTGTTTTCATCCCTGCTTGTGACAGTTGAGAGTAATTCACAATTAGCTTCGAGTTTGCTTGATTTATTGTGTGTAAAAATGATAAAAATGTTAATTTATCAAATGAGGTAAAAATAAATGCCTCCAATGCTCAAAGGGGTCTCTGTGCCACCAAGCACTGAGCCATTTATATGTTGTACTATTGCATTCGTCATGCATCATAACTGAGGCCTCATTTACATTTGACTGACAGTTTAACATCTTTTAAAGAACAGATTTGCTAAAGAGGCATTACACAAGCTGTAATCTTCTTAAAACTACCCTCATCAAGTCATTTAAAGTCAATAAGAATACATTGAATTTACACGTTTCATTCATTGCCTGTGAGATTTATTCTCCTTCAAGAAAGGATTTATTTATTTTTTAGAAAACATAGTGACAGTGTTCAGAAGGATTAATGTTTTTAGCTTAAAACACCTTGTGCTCTGATACTACATAGTCTTTAACCAATACAGTTTATATTACAGTAGTTTTCTATTCCTTAAGAGCAGATTCATAAAAAACGTGCATACAAATAAACACAAAACCACCATCACTGTGTGGAGACAGCTGAGGTATTGAATGATTTTATTTTCTGTTCCACGACATGAGATCTTTCAAAATTGAAAACTCATTGAGGCAATTTAATATAATATTCACTCTCTTTGACAAACACACATGCAAGTCCGTGTTTATTTAATCTACTCTCCTGACAACACATCAGAAATATAAATGAAGATAAAAAAACTAAAATACAACCTATTTAATTTAAAGCATGCACATCATGAAAGGCAATTGCATTATAGGCCATTACACATGTAAACTAACATAATGCAGTGAGTAACAAACCAAAATCAGTTAAAACGTGTTGTGAAATTAAGTTATATTTCAATCTATCTGGATTAAAACCCACATATTAAGTTATTTTCTAATGAGCAGGGAACTCTTACTAATGAAGTGTAGCATATGGACAACAAGAGTAAAGGCCACTGAGGTCAATGGCTGTAAGATACAGTATCTTACAGCAATTTGCATGTTACCAGCAACAAAGTATGAGTTTCCCTCTAATCTCTAGAAACCAATTCACCACTTAATAAGAAGAAATTGCACTCTCGCAAATGCTCTCAGATCCAGGCCATCATGTGGCAGAACAATGTTTCTCACAACAAAACAATGGTTATACTAAAACAAATATTTATAAATATGAAACGTGATATAATATGAAGGAAACATCATAAAACACAAAATGTACCACAACTCTCTATTGATGATGCAAAAGGTGTACTGTCAGCTAATGGTGGATCATTAATATAACATCAAACCATCAGAGAATAGGCTCTGTGTCGTTCCAGTTGACAAATGCATCTTTCCACCTGAAACCAAAAAGAACCGGTTTAAGGCATTAAGAGCTAACCCAGGTGCAAACTGCATGATTCTTTACAACTTCAAGGAATTTGATAAACACATGTTATAGTTGTTTTGAGGATCTGCAGACATCTCTGGACACATGGCTTTCTGTGTGCTAAAAATGCTTAAACATCCCTACCTTGTTCGGATGCAGTGCTCCAGCGGAGGAATGAGATCAATGTCGACATCTTGATAGCTGAGGGCCGATTTGCCAACAACTGAAAATGCAAACAATAAATTAGCATTTTCACTTAAAGGTCCCCTATACAGTGATTCTCAAATAGGGGTACGCGGACCCCTGGGGGTACGTTGGGGTAATGTGAGATTTAAAAAAAAAAAAAAAAAAAGGTTAATTAAAAAAAGAATCTTAGTAAAATAAGTAAAATAGAAAACACAATTTTATATAAAACATTCCTAGAACCACCAAGGGGGTCCTCATATAAACATGTCAAATGTGTGTATTGTATTTTATAGTTTTTCACAATAAAATATTACTTAAATTGAAAAACTCCTTGGAAAAATCTGTTTTATAAAAGTGTTATGTTATTTTTTTTCATGCATAAAATAAAAATATCCTTAGTTTGTTGTAATGCATACCACGAAGGAGCTAATACATCACACACTGAGGGAACATCACTATATTGTAATTATTTATATAGGCTTTTTCGATCAAAAATGTTCGGGATCGGTCAGGGTACTTGGCTGAGAAAATGTTTCAAAGGGGGTACATTACTGAAAAAAGTTTGAGAAGCACTGCCCTATTATACTGTTTTTCATCAATATATTATAGGTCTCAGATATATACAAAACATGTCTCTGAAGTGTTTGGCTTGAAACACCAAACAGATCAGGCATTGCAGCATCCCACAATCCCCTCTGTTTCAGCCCCGTTTCAAAAGTGCTGATTCTCTGTCTATTACTTTAGATGAAAATAAGGAGCCACTCCCCACGCCCCTCTGAGAGATATTTGGTTAAAAAGAACACAATGGTGCTCTAGGAGGAGATGGTTACCTTGGTTGGTGATTGGCTAATGGTTACACAACCCAAAAAATTGTTATGACATCATAAAGTGTCCAAAATCTGATCAGCTCATTTTCAGACAGGTTTTTATATAAATGGCTCAAGACAAAAAAGTGAGCGAATCTTTTTTCCTGAAACTTTCCGAATCTCTTTAAACAGAGGGGACACATGTGGATGTAGAAAAGACATGAAAAGGTGGATTTTGCATAATAGCTGAGCTTTAAGACATGCAATAACACTGATCATTGACCCAGACCATAGAGATTGGCTGGAGAACATAATATAAACTTTAAATAATCATATCATGATCAGATATTATAATATTATTATGCCCTAATGCTCATTCACTGGTGTGAGAGGATGAGCAGAGAATAGTCAGACATACAAACAGTGAGGCGGATCTCCTCCTGTTGATTGGCCAGTCCATCGTAATAGTAGAGGTCAAACTCCAGACCTTTGTCCTGATTGGTCAACAGCTCCCTCTGCAGGCCGAACAGCACGCTGAAGTGGCTTTCACTGCACACCACCCAGATAGGGTAATGGGGAGTCTTTAGGTACGCTCCCACCTTAGATAGAGCAAAACAGAGCATAGTAATATATAAAATTCCAGGACTCACAGCTAAATGGCAATCTATTTTTTCTTACATATCAAAGTGTTCAAATAATTGCTTGCATGTGATTATGGCACCACAGCAAAACATAAATGGTATCATGGTATTTTCTTATGCATGCCTGGTGATGTACTTCAAAGTAGACACAGATTGCCATTGTGTGAAAGTATCAGAACTTGTGTTTGGTACTTAATGTGTAAAAAAACTTTAAATATATTAATTTTTGGCAGGGTCCATTATACAAGTTTTGTAGTGGCTATTTGTCAACAATGTGAAGGACTGAAGGATGCTTTTGCTGACACACTGCAATCCAATCGACTCCTGTAGTCTTTGCTTATGTGTCCCCGTTTCAAGCAACCAAAACAAATTCCATGCTTGTGACGGAGCGGGTCAGAGTGACTGACTCCGCCACTGACAGCCGACACACACACGCACACACCAAACATTTCCTGCTCTCTTCCTAAAAAGGAACCATGCAATGTATTATTTATTGTGTGTTTGTTAATTTGTAAAATGATTATGTTAAGAGGTGGTTAACCTGTTTATGTTTGGGTCGGATTTTTTTATGTTGACAATGTTATTTGAGGTAATTGCGTCACCTGTTGACGGTAAGCATGTGGGAGGGGCTATGAGTTCAAAATGGACGGTTTTTGGCCCTGGAGGAGGACTCGGAAGAATGTTGCAATGAAGGCAACAGCTGGGACGTGTTCGGGAGATGGTTGCAGAGAAGGCAACACCAGAGCATGTTTACTCTGATGAGTGATGGACGGTTTAATTTGGACATTTATTTATTTTGTTTAAGTTGTGCTGGTTCGTTATTTTCTTTTTTTTGCTGCTGTTATTAAAGTTTTGGAGCTTAACCCAACCGACTAGGCCAGTGTTTGTGAACGGACAAATAGAGCCCCGTCACAATGCTCCTTTATGAAATGTATCTTGTCCTTTTGTGTCTTTAACTTAAACTGTGAGCAAGTGAGTGGCTGGTTTGTTGGCAGAATAAACAGCATTTGTTGTGACTTTGGGCAGAAAATGACTTGATCTTATTATCCATGTAGCCTTTGTTTCTTTCTTTCATTGCAGTGACACCGGTGGCAAAGGTGCCCTGTTTCCTATGCCTTGGTTCACTGACAGTGGGGTGTTTGTTGCAGCTGGTATATTTTGAGTCCTGAATATTTCCAAACAGTGGGTCAGAGGCAATTCTAACTTGTTTTTCAACAAAGTTCACAGGGTCAATGAATAGTGCTCTGCAACCACGTCTCTCCTGCAAATCACATGCATGGCTCCTCCACTTCTCCCTCACCTTATAAGGAAGCTTCATCATGATGTTTCTGAGGTTTGATGGCATGTCCAACTCATTCATGTGCATGAGTCGCTGTGTTAAATTTGAGCATTCCCGTAAGAACAGAGAAAAGGATTTCAGTGATTTGACATCTTCTTCTTTAACCAGAGCCCAGCTATCAATTTTGTCCATATAAGCAGAAGCAATTTTGTATTCATTTCCAAAATGTTCAGCAAGCAGGGATTTGGCTCTTTGGTATCCTTGAACAGAGGGTAGGTGCTGACAACTTTTCACCAGGTCTCTTGGTTGCCCCCTGGTGAACTGCTCCAAGAAATGTAAACAATCACTTGCATTATCAGTTTTAACCTCAACACAATTTTCAAAGGATCTGATGAAAGAATGATACTGAAGAGGATCACCATCAAATGTGGGTATATTTCTCACTGGTAGGGAGGATGCTAAATGTTGCTGTACTAACATTGTAGTGATGTCAGTTTGGCGTTGCATGATATTCACAATGTCATATTCAAGGAGGATGCTCGTCCTGTCTGTTGAGCATCATGAACCACCTGCGTTGGTGCTTGAGTGTATAGTGGTCTGAGGTCCGTCTGTAACACTGCCATTTGTTTAGGCCTGACAGTTTGTGATGTGTCTTTAAACCTGATGGTCTGTGAGGTTTCCTTTGGTCTTACAGTGACAGCCTGGGCATTGGGGTGAAATTCATTTTTGCATGTTATTTTTGTCATTTCTCTGTGGGACAAATTGATTAGCCTGAGTATTGAGTTGCCTTGTACTCTGAGCCTTGTTCCTTTCCAGATAAGAGTTCATTCCATCCCTTTTGGAGCTGCATTTTGAGCTTGTTTCCAAAACATTGATTTTGGCGTTTTGCAGCTAGCTCGGTCTCCAGAGCAAACTGTTCCTTTTCTTTTCTTAGTTCCTCCTCCTTTACTTCCAACTGATGTTTCCTTTTTAAAGCCTTCATGCACTCCACAATTGCTGCTTTATCAGCCTCTGCTTTTAGCCTGGCAGATGCGGTGGATGATGTTTTAGACACATTAGAGTGTGTTTTGTGTTGCCTTTCCTTTGGACCTGAAATGTTAGAGGCACTGTCCTCCGGATTGATATCATCAATAACAGCACTTTGTTTAGTTTGAGTCTCAACATCAACATTGCCAACATCATTGTCATTATTTTCAACTTCATTGTCGACATTTTCATTTGATTCCACATGAGGGTGCCCAGCAGCAGACAACCAATCCTTTACAGACTCAGTGAAATTACAAAATGTCATCATTGTTGCATTGAAATATGTATTTTGCCTTTTGACCTCCTCGGGCAAATCCATATCTATGAAAGACTCATGCATGTTCTTAGCGTCCTCATAACACTTGATGAAGTTGCACAAATGAGCTAGCACAGACTTCACATTGTCAGTAGATTTCATCCAGACACGTATTGGTTCAATGTATTTCTTGGCCTGCTTGATTTTTGCCATTCTCTTTTCTTGGCACGTTTCTATGTAAAACCCCTAGCCTTTTGGGGTAAACTTGAGGGCCCGTTTTACAGAGGGCTCGGGCGGAGCAACATTCTCCACACTTGAATAATTTGAATCAACCACAGGCATTGTCTCGTTTGTCTCAACCAGCTGCTCCATATTGTCTGATTGAGTTCACACAGGCAATTATATTGCCATTTCACGTCGGAGATTTATGAATAAATGTCTTTTCAAGTCCAACAACTCCCAATATTCATCAACATGTAGCGAAACAGTAATTCAGTCACTCCAAATAAGTTTGCTTTTTTCCAATAAAGCTGACAGATTATCCTTCACATACCAATGTTATGTTGTTGTGGAGTAGGTTTGTGCGGCGTCCATTTAAGCCGTGGGTGGTCCTCTGTTCTCCGATCGTGTCTTTAACAGGCAATTCAAAGTTTCACAAAGTCATGAGCATTGTCTCAGATCTCCAGATCAAACGCTGATGCGCCGGCGTCCATGTTCCTTTGTCCAGCATGATCATCTCCGTTTGAGCGTGGTGGTGATTCCAGTCCAAACGTCCATGCAGTGCAAAAAAATCCCAAAAAAAACAATAAAAAAGTGTCCGCTTCAATAAGGAAGGTTTTTTACTTTATGTAGTGGCTATTTGTCAACAACAATAAAGTTTCAAAAGGCCACTGAGGCACCAGGTATAGTGGATCTTATGCAGATCAGGAGTTGGTAATTAATCCATTGTCCAGACAAGGCATCGACGTTTTACTGGTATTTATTAGCTTCACCTTGGCAAGAACAATACAGCAAAAGGTGTTTAAATGTTTGCTGAACTCAGCCCTGACACTGGTAAAAAAAAAAACATAGACCTTCCCGGTGCCCACTGACTGCTGCTGTGCCCTGATTGACTTAAATAAACCCAGCTGTGTGCCCAAATTGATCCATCACCTTCAAAATAAAAGCATTTTAGCTGGAACACAACTTAACTTAAATAATATGGCTGTAAATTAACTAATTCTATAAAACAACAAATAAATACATTAAATAAATGTGAAAAATACTGAATAGCTTCCACAAGTTTGAATAAGGTTTTCAGCTCTATCTCCTCTACTATTTAAGGACTGACACCACCCAACCCCTGTTTCCTCTGAAGTAGAACCAGTTTTACCATACAGTAGTTTCAAATAAAACCTTGGACTTTTGAATAAATTAAAGATATGCTCACGTTCTCTCATTGACTAGTTATCAGCTGTGACATCGACACTAGTATTGTCTTCAGCTTGTGAGTCTGCATTTATGTCATCGTGGCAAAAAGTACATTCCTGGCCCAATTTTGTTGTCACATAACTTTACAGATCAAAATAAAGCCATGGTTTGAAGATAGTAGTCCAAGCAAGGACGCTGAAAGTATCTGGTTATGAAGTGAGGAAGGGGCCATTTCCACCTAACGTTATTCCCCTGGCTAATTTTGTCATTGTGGCTGATGTGCTCCTCTAGTTACACTTCACTCGGTCAATTTACTTTACTATCCCACAGCTTGATCTCCAGAGAGCTTACTGCCCATTTTTCTTTAGTTATCCTATTCTCGTGTGTGCGAAGTACTTTGAATAAACATTTTTCAGGCGGTGTATGTGTTGTTAACTATCATATAAATCCCATAATAGTCTATCATCAATCAATCAATGTTTATTTATATAGCCCAATATCACAAATGTTACATTTGTCTCAGTGGTCTTCACAGTTTGTACAGAATATCAGTATGATAATACGACACCCTCTGTCCTTAGACCCTCACATCGTACAAGGAAAAACTTCCGGATAAAACCCACAGTTTTAAAGGGAAAAATGGGAGAAACCTCAGGGAGAGCAACAGCGGAGGGATCCCTCTCCCAGGACGGACAGACGTGCAATAGATGCCGTGTGCAAATTGAAAAGATAATAAATTCAATACGTCTAGAACGTCTAGAACATTCTTTGCTGTAATTATGGGCACATCTGTGTTTCTGCTGGCACAGATGTGTCCACAATTACAGCAAAGAATCCCCCTTGAGGTCTTGTGTTTTAACTTGAATCTGACTAGTATCTGGTCTGTCAGTGGCAGGGGGACCAAAGAGTCGGCTGTCAGAGTCACTCACCTTACAGATGTTATAGTGTTCAAACAGGGACAGCAGGCCTACGTCACAGGGGTCTTTGACTCCCTTCAGTAGAGTCATGTTGCCGTTGCCTGAATCCAGCTCTATGTCATTGTCAAAGACATTAGAAACTGCCCTGCCGCAGAGCAACAGATTTACCAGCTCCTGGTGAGCACAAACACAAAAAATCAACTTAATAACCAGCATGTATATGTAGTATTGCTTACTGCCATATCAGTGTTACTCAGAGATCCCTTTGCTGTACAACATGCTTATACTTATGTTCATTAACTAATGTCATCACGAACCATTCATGCACCTTCATTGTTTGATACAAATTGCGATGTTGAATCACAAACTAACAAACAGAATCCTGAATGCTCCTAATATTATCCTGCAATTCGTAGTTAGGGTTATATCAGACCTGTGTGCAGTAGCCATGGGCTCCAATGAGTGTGTTGGTGTGCACGTCCATATCCTCTCTTACTCTAGAGAGAATAAAGAGATCAAACAGTAAGGGTGATGTTTCTTCATCTAGCTTATACTGATTCATACTTCAGATGTTGTTCGGTCATGAAGCAAAAAAAAGGCATATCATACTTTTTAATGGTTCGAGAGAGAACAGCAGATATGCTGAGCAGAAGGCATCCTAATGCCCCAGTCTCAAACTGTGGAAGAATAGAGGTTATGGCGAAAAAGTTGGCAGTTATTTTCAACATTTGACAGTCAAAATTAAACTGAGGAAGTCAATATTTCGGTTTCTCGCCTGATCAATATGCCGCTCCAGAAGCAACTGCAGGTCCTTGAAGTTATCCAGAGTGTAACATGTTATCTGAAACAAAAGCTGGTTATAAAACCTCCACAGCATTTCCTTTTGTAAATTGAAAGAGTAGTGACTGACACAGCTTTACTTTGTTTATTACACACTGTTCAGTTCATTCCAAATAAAAACCACAAATGTGCAAATGCATTTTACAAATATGGCTGAGTCTACACAATACCATGACATAATATACATAGTAATATTCCACAAATTCAACCTAATAAAAATGTCTCATTGAATTTCTGTTAAGTAATGTTTGCAACATGTAGAATTAAAATACTGGATATTTTTAAATATTAAACTCCTCGTCTATATTCTAACAGTCTCTACTTGAGTGTAACTTTTCTACACTCATGTCAGCAGGTGTGTATGCACTATGCAGTGGCATCTCTATACCTTTTCAAGCACTCCTTCAGATTTGTAGTGTCTTGCCGGGGTGAAATGATTCCTTCCTGAATTTCTGTTTTAAAAGAAAATAGAGGTAGGACAAAAAGCACAAAAACGGGTTCAATCGATGCTACTCCTAAAACGGCAAATGTATCAGGGACGTCTGAGATCAACAGGTTTGTCAGGAAGTTAACTTTTGACTTCTAGAGTTTTTGTGGCCCCGGCCCGACCTTCAACATCTAAGCCAGTATTCACATGCATTCAAAGTACCGGTAATAACATTCCTTTAAAGAGGTTCTTTAGTTTTGGTCTGGATGTGAAAGATTAAGTGGAGAAAGTATAATCTTACATTGCAACTGTGGCTTGTTTTTCCTCGCCAGCCCGCCAAAGTATTTCCGCCGCCGATAAAACAAGACACTTTCTTCTGGTAGAATTGGAAGGTCTTAACCTCCTGAGAACAAAGTGGCATTTGAGTCAAAAGTAGCACGTGTGGTGTGATAATACAGTTAATACCAAATGCAGATACTTATTACTTAACATTGGCTACAAAGCATGTCTTGATGTGAATTATCAAAAAGCATCCAAGTGATTACAACAGAGGTTAACATTGAGGATCAAAGCTGTGATTTGAAGGATAACGTACTGAAGGCCTATACTGCTGCTCTCAGTGTTTTCAAAGAGCAGTTTCTTTAGAACAAAGGCTTGGAAGGATGCCAGAACTCCACAAGGACCACCCTAGAAAATAAATAAACAGAGTGCAAAACACCGCAAATCAATAAATCATATGGAAATCAGTTTTCTACATAAGTGAAGTGTAGTGAGATGGAACATTAAAGGTAACCTTTTTCTGCACGATTCCGTATCTCAGGTCCTGCGTTTCTGAGAACGTGAGACCCTGATTTCTCCATTCAACACTGAAACAATTTAGGCTGGTACCCAGAAGAACAGCTTTCAATTCCTGGGAAAAAATAAACAGAAAATCAAAAGCAACCACAGAAACTCCCAAGCATTTTTTCAGAAAAGCTGGTGTGAATCACAAACCATGGCGGTGTGTTGGTCCATGGGGTAGCCTGCATAGCTGTGCTCTACGACAGTTCGGTGAAAGGACACTTTGGAGAGTTCTCCCAGATCCTCATCATCATCAATGTCATCTGGAATTTGATTAACAACACCATTAGACAAATATAAGGCAACAAATACAAAATCTGGGCTCTTTTCTCAGATTACTGACCTAAAACCATCTCAGACACATCCAAATCTGCCACATTTGGACTGGACAAAGACTTCACTCTAAGAAACGGACACAACGTAGTTATCTTATGAAGAAAATTGATAGGAACATACGTAAACAGTAAAAAAAAAATACACAGAAAAGTATCAACAGAATCACTACTGTAAGCAGCTTAAAGCTATTTACTTTGTAGTCTTCCGTAAGTCTTGTTGCACTTTTTCAAAGCTGTTCTCCCTCGGCAATCTCTCTGGTGCACTCCACATCTCCCATTGCCCTTCAACACAGTCAGCTGAGCGTATTTGGCTGCTTTCTGGGCTTTTTTTATGTTTCCCAGCCACTAAAACCCCATCCACAGACTGCCTGTTGTCTTCAACTTCTTTTAGCAGCGGATGGGGTCCTTCGAGCTTTCGATTCTGCCTTTTTTTGTTTGAATCCTGAAAGGAAAAATATAGTTAATGACAAATGTTATGGTAAATATGAATAATGTGATGGGATGAATACATTTCTAAGTACTGCATCCGTAGTCCAGCACCTGCGCTGTGCTAGCTATTGGTCCGGCCATCATTCCACGTCTAATTCGATTACTTCTGCTCCTTTGGGTGCTCTCAGTAATTAAAATCTGTTTCTCTGTTTCACTTCTGGTGAGGCGTTCATTGTCGTGGAGCGAAGCCCTCAGTGGCTGGTCTTTTTGTTCTTCTAGGTCATAGGCCCAGAAGCCTGTTTGATAGTGGCTGGACAGTGGGTCTGTTTCAGGCTGAGAAGTGCAGAAGTCTCCTCTATAAGACCTGTAAGAGAGATACATAACATTTGTTCAAACTAATTTACAAAAATACAAAATAATGATCAAAAACCAAACTTGTGATATACCTTAATATGTTGTGTTTGCTAATAACAAAAGCTGTTGTGCTATCCTCTGTGTTTTTGTTATTCATTACTGTTGGTGTTACTGCAGGAGAATTAGTCGTCCAGCTCTTAGCCTGATCAGACGGACGGGGATCACTTTCATTGCTGGGGATCTTGTCCTGCTTAAGCCCCTCAAAATGATGCTTCACAATAATCTCCAGTAATGTTTTCAAGGGGGAGTTCTGAGCCTGCAACAACAGAGAAGTTAGCAACAGACTTGTTTTTCATGTAATCCACATCCCAGTAGCCAATATCCAGCTGCAAGACTTACTTTATTATTACTATAGAGCCCCTCCATGTGTAGAATCTGCCTCAAGTGGGATCTGTTGTTGATACTCGCCTTTGTGCGAGGATGTTCTTCGTCCATACAGGCAATCGTCCTCTTGAGACCCTGCACATCAACAGAGTATTACATTATATTCTTTGAAACCACAAGTATAAAGGGATATTTAAGCTTTTTTAAAGTGGGGGTGTATGGAGGCTATTTTGTCAGTGTATTACTTGAAGTAGTTAGTGGTCAGACTGCTCCCAGCAAGGGATTTGCAAAGCAATATGTTGTTATAGACAGGCAGTGGCGTCGCTAAAGCCCCGAATGTTTTTTCTTTAGCCCCGGACAATTCTCCCTCAATACTACATTAACCGTGCTTTACCTGAACCTCATCATGTCACTAGAGAGGACGGCAGGATTGTAATTTCCCGTGTTCAGTGAATGCAACAGAGGCAAGACACCAGAGAGAGAGAGAGTGCACCGGTGCCAGCAGGGGCCTTGTTTTTAGCATCTGGTGCTAGCTGCACTAACGGACATAAGGATCTCTTTCCACAACAATCTGGAGGAGAGTCCTCTCCTGTCTGAGAGACTCAGGTGAGCTAAAGGGCTCTGAGTGTTTAGATAGTTAACTTTAGTCTAAGTTATCTCAGTTGGTCTCAAACGGTTTGGTCACGAATTATATAAAAGATTATTTCTGAGGCTGTCACGGTGTGTGAAGCAGGTAGGTCGTATCACTAGGCCACCAGGGTGGGTGGAGGGGGTCAGGAGGACGGGACTGAGCTGACCGCCCAGGAGCACAGCAGAGGACCAAGAAGGGATCTCGGGCGGACGGCCCGTGGGCAAGGCAGAGTTCAAGGAGGGGTTCTCGGGCGGACGGCCCGGGGGCAAGGCAGAGTTCAAAAAGGGGTATTCGGGCGGACGGCCCGGGGGCAAGGCAGAGTTCAAAAAGGGGTATTCGGCCCGGGGGCAAGGCAGAGTCCAAGGTGGGGGTTATGGAGGGGTGAAGGCCATCGCGGGTGAACTCAGGGGGCCGAGCATGAGGACGAGGACCGCGGCCGGGAAAGTCAGGGGGGCCGGGCTCGAGGGCAAAGGCCGCGGCAGGAAGAGTCAGGGGGCCGGGCTCGAGGACCAGGGCAGCGGCAGGAAGAGTCAGGGGGCCGGGCTCGCGGGCGAAGACCACGGCTCACAGAGGGCCGGGATCGCGGGCGAAGACCACGGCTCACAGAGGGCCGGGATCGAGGGCGAAGACCGCGGCTCTCAGGAGGCCGGGCTCGAGGGCGAAGACCAGAGAGCTCCGGAGGCCGGGCAGGAAGGCGCTGACGGGCCAGCGCCGGAGGCCGGGCAGGACCCGGTGTCGGCCGGACAGGAACCGGAGCTGGTGGGACAGGCCTCGGCAGAATCCCCCACGGAAGAGGACCAGGACACGGGATTGGCAGGACCCCGGAGAGACAGAGGATGGCGGGGCCTCCAACGGAAAAGGACAAGGGGTTGGTAGGACCCCCGGCAGCAGAGTAGTCGGCGGGGCCTCCAATGGCACAGGACAAAGGGTTGGCAGGACCCCCGGCAGGAGAGTAGTCGGCGGGGCCTCCAACGGCACAGGACAAAGGGTTGGCAGGACCCCCGGCAGGAGAGTAGACGGCGGGACCTCCAACGGGACAGGACAAAGGGTTGGCAGGACCCCCGGCAGGAGAGTAGTCGGCGGGGCCTCCAACGAGACAGGACAAGGAGCTGGCAGGACCCCCGGCAGGAGAGTAGACGGCGGGACCTCCAACGGGACAGACATACGATTGGTAGGACCCCCGGCAGAGGAGTAGTCGACGGGGCCTCCAACGGAACAGGACATGGAGTTGGCAGGACCCCCAGCAGAACCTCCAACGGACCAGGACATTGGGTAGGGACTTGAGACGTGACTCGAGAGGGGAACCAAGGGGGAACTCGAGAGGGGACTCGAGAGGAGAACTAAGGGGGAACTCGAGAGGGGAACTAGAGAGGGGACTCGAGAGGGGACTAGAGGAGGAACTAGAGGAGGGACTAAAGGAGAGAGAGGGGACTAAAGGAGAGAACTCGAGAGGGAACTGGAGAGGGAACTGGAGAGGGGACTCGAGAGGGGACTCGGGTAGGAACTTGAGAGGTGACTAGAGAGGGGACTCAAGAAGGGACTGGAGAGGGGACCTGAGAGGGAACTGGAGAGGGGACTCGAGAAGGGACTTGAGAGGAGACTGGAGAGGGGACTGGAGAGGGGACTCGAGAGGGAACTGGAGAGGGGACTCGAGAGGGGACTCGAGAGGGGACCCGAGAGGGGACTCGAGAGGGGACTCGGGTAGGACCTGGAGAGGGGACTCGGATAGGAACTCGAGATGGGACTCGGGTAGGAACTGGAGAGGGAACTCGGGTAGGAACTTGAGAGGGGACTCGGGTAGGAACATGAGAAGGGACTTGTGTCGGTCGGTACGCCGACAGGACACGGGGAGCTGGCGTCGTCTGGGGAGCCAGCAAGAGACGAGGTGCTGGAGTCGGCCGGTACGCCGACAAGACTCGGGGAGCTGGCGTCGGCTGGGGAGCCAGCAGGAGACGAGGTGCTGGAGTCGGCCGGTACGCCGACAAGACTGGGGGAGCTGGTGTTGGCTGAAGAGCCAACAGGAGACGAGGTGCTGGAGTCGGCCGGTACGCCGACAAGACTCGGGGAGCTGGCGTCGGCTGGGGAGCCAGCAGGAGACAAGGTGCTGGAGTCGGGACCATGACTGTATGGGCCAGCTCTGGTGCAGGGACCACGGTTGTAAGATCCAGTTCTGGAGCCGGAAACATGGCTGTAAGGTCCGGAGCTGAAGCCTGGATCATGGCTGTGTGGGCCGGTTTTGGAGCCGGAAACATGGCTGCTGGGGCCGGCACTGGAGCCGGAACCATGGCTGCTGGGCAAGGAACCGGAACACGGATCCATGGCTGTGTGGGGTGGTACTGGAGCACGGTACCATGGCTATGTGGGATGGTACTGGATCACGGAACCATGGCTGCTGGGTCCGGCACTGGAGCCGGAACTGGCGCTGGAACCCTGGCCTTTCGTCTTTTTGGAGTCTTTTGGAGGCTTCGTGGACCTCCAAACGCCAGACCAGACCCAAGGAAAGGGTCAGAACATGAAGCCTGGTTCTCAGGTGTTGCGACCTGGCTCAAAAGGCCACAACAAAAAGGAGACACAACATGTCAACGGGTAGGTAAAGGTGTTTATTTTCACAACACTGGTCAATTCAACACATTTATACTCATCAGAGCCGGGTGCCTGCAGGAAAACAGAGCGAGAGAGCAGACAGGAGCAGAGAGGCTTTAAGATAGCTGCAGAGCACCAGACCCAGGTGCCCTGAGTTACTGCAATCGGTGCAATCACTGGAGCCAATGCAGCACAGACAGAACAGCCACACCCTATCTACTGATGCACCCACAGGGGCATCACAGCCCCCCCCTTAAGACGGGGCCCCAAAGGGGTCCACGACAACCCAACATCCTTCTTCTTAACTCCAGCTTTTTACTTTCCATCTTAGGACTGGAGGACGCTCCTCCTCCGCCTCTGTCTTCGAGCTCTTGCCTTGCGATTTCGTACTGCTTCTTCGATTCCACTGCCTTTATGTCCCACTCCTCCTTGGGTTGGCTGGCATTGAGCCACAGCATGTAGGCGCTCATCGGCCTCTTGGGCGCGCTGACCTCCTTCGGCCTCCTCTTCTTCGCTTTGCGGCGTTTCCTCTCTTTCTTCTCCTTCACCTTTGTCTCGATCTGAAAGTCAAAGGACCGTGTTGGGCCACTTTTTCCAGACTCCGAAACAGGTAGGTCAGTAGACATCCTACGGCTCTGCACACGCGTAATAGTATAAAAAGGAGACACACTTGGAAATTGCAAACCACTCTTATCTGGCTCTACAGATGCCAACGGTCTGGAAACCACCACAGGCGGTGGCACACCTGCCCACACCACACAACCAGCAAGATCGTTGCCCAAAATCATCTGTACCCCATCAAGTGGCAATGCGGGACGCACGCCAATAGACACAACTCCCCGTACCAGCTCACAATCCAGCACTACTGTATGACGTCGCACAGGAATCAAGCCCATCTCCATGCCCCTCATCAGCACAAAATCCCCCGTTTCTGTCTCTGACGAAAAAGGCAACACTGACTCAACAATGAATGAGTATCTAGCCGCTGTATCACGCAACACCTTAATCGGCACATATTTGTCACTACCGACTACTGATACTACCGCTTCAGTGATGAACGGCTCAAAACCAGAACCCGCATCCGGGTCGGCACAAACCGGCTTCTTATCAGGCACCATGCCCGAGCCTACACCCAACGGTTTTTTATCCACCACGGCAGAACAACACATGGCTGGAGCATGTGGTGACAAACGAGGCTTCCCCTTCGTTTCCAGCAATGGACACTGCTCCTTCCAATGACCCCCACCTTTGCAATAGTGACATTGGTCCACTTTGGCCCCCTCGGGTCGCCCTGTACCTGCAAATCTACGGGAGGAGCCTGGTGAAAACTTTGCACGGGCATCTCCATTGTCTTCTCCACGTTTCCAATCACCCCTAGAATATTTCTCCGCAAACTGCCCTTATGTGTCAACACAAAATCGTCCGCTAATTCAGCAGCTCTAAACGCGGTGGGAGGTTTCTGTTCATTCACATACGTGGCCACACGCTGAGGGAGAATGTTTTTAAATTGTTCCAAGACAATGAGCTCACAAAGACCGTCAAAACTTGCAACCTTTGCTGCCGCGCACCACCGCTGAAAATGAGAAGTTAAATCACGGATAAACTCCACATGTGTCTGCTTATCTCCCTTGACCCCACTTCTGAACCTTTGACGATACGCTTCAGGAACCAGTTCGTAAGATTTAAACACAGCTGATTTTACTCTGTCATAGTCCAAAGTATTTTCGCCACAAATAGCTGAATAGGCTTCCTGTGCTCGCCCAGTGAGTACACACTGAAGTAACAGCACTCTGTCCGAATCTGACCAGTTTCTTGCCTCTGCTATGTGTTCAAATAGAGTGAAAAAAATGTCCGGGTCACGCTCATTGAACTTTGGCACTAATCGCAAGTAAGAAATTATATCGCCACTGCCTGATGCTAACCTAGCACCACCATTCTCCCCTGGAGAAAACTTGCCCTCTCCCATCAGCCGTAATCTAGCATGTTCCACCTCACATTTCATCTTTTCCACCTCCAGCACCTTCTCCACCTCTAAACGCTTCTCTACCTCCTGCTGCTGACCCCTCATTTCCAACTGCAACTCCAACTGCAATCTCTCCTGCTCCAACTTCAACTCCAACTGCAATCTCTCCTGATTAAACTGCATGGCCAAAAGCTCCTTTTGCTGTTCGAATGTCAAACCAGCTGTCTGAACCACTACTGGCCCGACCCCTGCCACACCAGACTCACTCTTCTGTAACACTCCCCGCTCAAACAAAGATGACACGATGACAGCTTTAATGTCATGTTTCCGCTTGCTCCCTACAACAGCAATTTCATAATGCTCTGCTATTTCGATCAACTGCGCCTTCTGGCAACCATCCAAGAAAGATACTGAGGGCGCATCCACAAACGCTGACAAAGAAGCCATAATATATTGCCTATACCCAATCAGAAAGCAAAGTACTCAACTGTCAACACGCCTGGGCGAAAAGACAAAACCCAACAGAGAATTCCCCCCTAACTGCCTTACCAAAATCTTCCTAATCTCACCTAGTCTTCATGTGGCTTGCGGCGGGTAATTACGCACTGGAACCCGGCGGATTTATGGAGCGACCTGCACGCAGGTAACACCAAGAAATCACGCGGATGTGCCCCCGAGACAGCTGTCCGAAAACAGCTGACACCAACCACGTCGCCACAACACTATGAAAAAAACAAACAGACGGAACCCAAGGGGAAACGCCACTTAAGCCTAGCGGGGAAAATCTCTTTTACAAAAGTGTAACAAACAGCAATATCTTACCTTCTGATTGGCACACAAACCCTGATGCCATGTCACACACTAAAGCATCCTGAAACCCAAAAGACATGATGTGTCCCCCAAATAGCAGCGCAGAGCCAGCACACAGCTGGACCACAACAATGAATCAGCTGCTCAATGAGCACCACACAAACTTTTTAAATAAATAACCCGTTGGACGAGCCCCCATTTGTTGCGACCTGGCTCAAAAGGCCACAACAAAAAGGAGACACAACATGTCAACGGGTAGGTAAAGGTGTTTATTTTCACAACACTGGTCAATTCAACACATTTATACTCATCAGAGCCGGGTGCCTGCAGGAAAACAGAGCGAGAGAGCAGACAGGAGCAGAGAGGCTTTAAGATAGCTGCAGAGCACCAGACCCAGGTGCCCTGAGTTACTGCAATCGGTGCAATCACTGGAGCCAATGCAGCACAGACAGAACAGCCACACCCTATCTACTGATGCACCCACAGGGGCATCACACAGGGCTACGTGAGAAAACCCTAAGCCACTCGGGCAACAAGCTCCAGAGCCAGGGCTTGCGAGCAACCTCCTGACGTGCCTCCTTCAACGCAGCCTCTCTACACCGTCTAGATGAGGCGCCTTTCCACGTATAAAAAAAGATACTCCAGAGAGTATCCAAGACTTTCCGCCTGTTGCATCAAAAGGGCTGAATCTAATGGGTCCATAATGTGGTCGGTTCGTACTGTCACGGTGTGTGAAGCAGGTAGGACCCAAATGCAGATTAAAGTGAAAGTTCCTTTATTTCAAGGCTAGGTGATAACACAGACAGAACAGAACACTCACCGACGAACTAGTCATGACAAAAGACGAACCGACAAAGACAGACAGAAAAACCAGAACTTAAATACACGCAAGACTAATCACACAAACGAGACACAGGTGAGGAGGGAGGAGAAAACACAGGGGCCACAGGTGAACACAATTGGGTAATCAGACACACCAGGGAAACTAACGACAGGGAACCACAGACAAATCCAAACAAGACACAACGCAGATAGAAACAGGCAAGACAGGAGGTGAAGACCTTACAAAATAAAACATGAAACAAGACAAGACAAAACACCATAAAGACAGATCGTGACAGAGGCACACCTTCATAATCATTATTAAAAAAATAAGAGAATAAATGAAAAACAGTTATGAAATACGATATGACAGTAAAACAAGGATACAGTTTAATAGGGGAGTGATTTGTAAAAATATCCATAAAGAAAAAGAAAATCTGTTTACAGTTCTGTTTCATATGGGTGTTGAGAGATGTATCCATAGATCTCTTAATTTTGCTCTCAAAGTGCAACAGATTGATGCTTTTAACTTCAATATTTAAAAAAAAATCTTCCCGGGGGACCCCCCTAGAGGTGATGACCCCCCTAGAGGATGTTAGGTCCGCCCCCCACGTTTAAAAAAATAGCACTTTACCCCTGCTTACACCTATATGCCGTGAGCTAATTATCGAGCCTTCATTGTAACAGTCGAGGGTGTACTGTGTATGTGCGTGTGGGTAGTGTTGCAGTAGAACATTCCACTGTAGCGCCCGGTACCTTAATGGGAAACCCTACATGCACCCTATATGAAACGTCAAGCCACCCCACAGCACCCCCAAAAGAAAATCTCTGGCGCCAGCGCCACTGTGGGCTATGCCCCTAATGTTTCCAGGTCCAGGAAACGCCCCTGTAGACAGGGCTACTTCAATATGTATTCAAGCCCGCTAAAAGAAAAGTCTATGTAAATAAATGAATACCTCTAAAGTTTTGGTGGTTAATCTTTTCCAAAAACAGTTGTGTATATTTTTAGAAATTCTCTTTAAATCCCTACGGCAATTATTAAGTCTGGAAAACACATGTATATGTGGTTGTCGCAGGACTGTGTGTCCAATCATGTAACCTTCTTATTCTGTTCTATACATCCATGACCTCCACGCGCCAAATGATGTGAGCTACCTGTCTGCGCGCACTCATGGCGCGTCACCGGCGTCTTCCACAAGCTGCTAGCAGGACAGCAGTGAGTACAAGAAATAGTCTTGTTAGTTGTTTATGGTCTTCATGATACGTGTACAGATTGTAACTGTTGCCAACTTCGCTACTTTTTTTTAGAAGTTAGTGGCTTTGGAGCAAGAACGGCAAGCTACTTTCATTGGAAAGTCTCTTTAAACAGTGAACAGTGGATGGTCGAACCGCTGCTTAATGGGTTCGTTTGTGTGTTGTCAAATGGCTTTGGTGTTTAAAAACGTTAGAATAACACACACACACACACACACACACACACACACACACACACACACACACACACACAATAAAAGCAAAGGAACAGTCTAATCGAGGCAGCTGTAGACCAACATCTTGCGTGTTGTTCGAGGTAAAAATTATGTTTGTATGGTTGCTTCGGTAGGGCCATGAACATATTCCTAGTTTCATTATTTAGGTGAAACAGTATTCCAGCTGGGGGCCTATCGCCATCTACTGTACTGGCAATGGATAAGTCATCCAGCAACACATTAAAAGATCCAAACTACCCCTATGCATGTTCACGTTTGGTGGCTAAAATGTTAACTTTGCTCGTAGCAGCTATGACATTTATGTGACCCATCATAATTCCAAAGCCACTGTGGGCTAACTAACTAACTAGCTAGCTCTGGTAACGGTTTACAGTCCTGAGCCCGTGCACAAGCTTACTGTTAACGTTATTACCCAGCTCACCTTTCGGTTCAGATACTCTCGTACAACGGACGAAGCCACCTCTTCAACTGAAACGACCATAGTGATGAAGGTGTCCCGGCTGTAGTGGCCTCCTTCTGACGCAAATACTCAGCCGCTCGGACAGTAGCCTTTAGCTGCCCGTCGGCTGTGTGATGTAGCCACAACCCGGACCTGTAAGAGACCGTCCATAAGAGCAACAGATTCTTCTCAACAGATTGGGCTGATGTACGTTGCCATGGTGATCCCATGCGCAATACTTTTTATTCTTCTTCGCTTGTGTATTTAGTGTAGCTTGCATCCTTCATGTCGCATTGCTGCCATCTTCTGGAGCTAGTTACCTCATGCAGTGTCCACTGAGTCAGACTCGGCACCCTCTTTGCAATATACATAGGGTATAACCAGTGGCGCCTCCAGAAATGTATCATAGGGGTGGCCAAATGGGGCCACTGAAAATATTGGGGTGGCCCACCAAAACCAAGAATTTAATTGTTGTAAAAGTATAGACTAGATGAAAACAATGGCAAAGAGAATCACCTACTGATATACTTTGGTTTCTTATTTTATATTTTCTGATACTATTCATCTGAAGTGAATATAATACGGATAGTTAACATTTTACTTCAAACAACATTTAAAAGAACCTTGTTTTGTGTTATGTATACATGTGTTGGTGATTTATTGTTTTGTTTTTTATATATGCTAGTTGTTCTTTCCTTTTTAAAAAGACAAATACAGCTTAATTTAAATAAGTTCCTTTATTGTAAGGCACAAAATGTTCAGCATTCTCAACACATACAATACACAACAGCAACACAACATGTTCTTCAGTTATATTATGTCTCTAGGTTATAAATTGTTTTAGACTGAACAAAGCTGTTTGTGTCACACTGGGATCAAAGATGATTGACATGACTTTATTAAATCAAGTTTTAAAACATGACTATTTTATTTCAACAGGATCCAACAACACAAGGGGTATAAAATGGTAAATACTGTGATTGAACACAAAAACACCATCTATTATTGACCTTTATAGAAAATTCAAAACATTATAAATGATACAAAACACCACCTTTTAGTATTAGACAGAAAATATGTGACGAGACATTCTATATTTTTAGATTAGGCACTGTGGTGAGAGTAATACACTGAACAAAAATATAAATGCAACACTTTTGTTTTTGCTCCCATTTTTCATGAGATGAACTCAAAGATCTAAAACATTTTCTATATACACAAAATAACCATTTCTCTCAAATATTGTTCACAAATCTGAAAAAATCTGTGATAGTGAGCACTTCTCCTTTGCCGAGATAATCCATCCCACCTCACAGGTGTGGCATATCCAGATGCTGATTAGACAGCATGATTATTGCACAGGTGTGCCTTAGGCTGGCCACAATAAAAGGCCACTCTGAAATGTTCAGTTTTATCACACAGCACAATGCCACAGATGTCGCACGTTTTGAGGGAGCGTGCAATTGGCATGCTGACAGCAGAAATGTCCACCAGAGCTGTTGCCCGTTAATTGAATGTTCATTTCTCTACCATAAGCCGTCTCCAAAGGCTTTTCAGAGAATTTGGCAGTACATCCAACCGGCCTCACAACCGCAGACCACATAGTAATATTCCACAAATTCAACCTAATACAAATGTCTCATTGAATTTCTGTTAAGTAATGTTTGTAACATGTAGAATTAAAATACTGGATATTTTTAAATATTAAACTCCTCGTCTATATTCTAACAGTCTCTACTTGAGTGTAACTTTTCTACACTCATGTCAGCAGGTGTGTATGCACTATGCAGTGGCATCTCTATACCTTTTCAAGCACTCCTTCAGATTTGTAGTGTCTTGCCGGGGTGAAATGATTCCTTCCTGAATTTCTGTTTTAAAAGAAAATAGAGGTAGGACAAAAAGCACAAAAACGGGTTCAATCGATGCTGCTCCTAAAACGGCAAATGTATCAGGGACGTCTGAGATCAACAGGTTTGTTAGGAAGTGAACTTTTGACTTCTAGAGTTTTTGTGGCCCCGGCCCGATCTTCAACATCTAAGCCAGTATTCACATGCATTCAAAGTACCGGTAATAACATTCCTTTAAAGAGGTTCTTTAGTTTTGGTCTGGATGTGAAAGATTAAGTGGAAAAAGTATAATCTTACATTGCAACTGTGGCTTGTTTTTCCTCGCCAGCCCGCCAAAGTATTTCCGCCGCCGATAAAACAAGACATTTTCTTCTGGTAGAATTGGAAGGTCTTAACCTCCTGAGAACAAAGTGGCATTTGAGTCAAAAGTAGCACGTGTGGTGTGATAATACAGTTAATACCAAATACAGATACTTATTACTTAACATTGGCTACAAAGCATGTCTTGATGTGAATTATCAAAAAGCATCCAAGTGATTACAACAGAGGTTAACATTGAGGATCAAAGCTGTGATTTGAAGGATAACGTACTGAAGGCCTATACTGCTGCTCTCAGTGTTTTTCAAAGAGCAGTTTCTTTAGAACAAAGGCTTGGAAGGATGCCAAAACTCCACAAGGACCTCCCTAGAAAATAAATAAACAGAGTGCAAAACACCGCAAATCAATAAATCATATGGAAATCAGTTTTGTGAAGTGAAGTGTAGTGAGATGGAACATTAAAGGCAACCTTTTTCTGCACGATTCCGTATCTCAGGTCCTGCGTTTCTGAGAACGTGACACCCTGATTTCTCCATTCAACACTGAAACAATTTAGGCTGGTACCCAGAAGAACAGCTTTCAATTCCTGGGAAAAAATAAACAGAAAATCAAAAGCAACCACAGAAACTCCCAAGCATTTTTTCAGAAAAGCTGGTGTGAATCACATACCATGGCAGTGTGTTGGTCCATGGGGTAGCCTACATAGCTGTGCTCTACGACAGTTCGGTGAAAGGACACTTTGGAGAGTTCTCCCAGATCCTCATCATCATCAATGTCATCTGGAATTTGATTAACAACACCATTAGACAAATATAAGGCAACAAATACAAAATCTGGGCTCTTTTCTCAGATTACTGACCTAAAACCATCTCAGACACATCCAAATCTGCCACATTTGGACTGGACAAAGACTTCACTGTAAGAAACAGACACAACGTAGTTATCTTATGAAGAAAATTGATAGGAAAATACGTAAACAGTAAAAAAAAAATACACAGAAAAGTATCAACAGAATCACTACTGTAAGCAGCTTAAAGCTATTTACTTTGTAGTCTTCCGTAAGTCTTGTTGCACTTTTTCAAAGCTGTTCTCCCTCGGCAATCTCTCTGGTGCACTCCACATCTCCCATTGCCCTTCAACACAGTCAGCTGAGCGTATTTGGCTGCTTTCTGGGCTTTTTTTATGTTTCCCAGCCACTAAAACCCCATCCACAGACTGCCTGTTGTCTTCAACTTCTTTTAGCAGCGGATGGGGTCCTTCGAGCTTTCGATTCTGCCTTTTTTTGTTTGAATCCTGAAAGGAAAAATATAGTTAATGACAAATGTTATGATAAATATGAATAATGTGATGGGATGAATACATTTCTAAGTACTGCATCCGTAGTCCAGCACCTGCGCTGTGCTAGCTATTGGTCCGGCCATCATTCCATGTCTAATTCGATTACTTCTGCTCCTTTGGGTGCTCTCAGTAATTAAAATCTGTTTCTCTGTTTCACTTCTGGTGAGGCGTTCATTGTCGTGGAGCGAAGCCCTCAGTGGCTGGTCTTTTTGTTCTTCTAGGTCATAGGCCCAGAAGCCTGTTTGATAGTGGCTGGACAGTGGGTCTGTTTCAGGCTGAGAAGTGCAGAAGTCTCCTCTATAAGACCTGTAAGAGAGATAAATAACATTTGTTCAAACTAATTTACAAAAATACAAAATAATGATCAAAAACCAAACTTGTGATATACCTTAATATGTTGTGTATGCTAATAACAAAAGCTGTTGTGCTATCCTCTGTGTTGTTGTTATTCATTACTGTTGGTGTTACTGCAGGATAATTATGCCCCGGCCACACGAGGACGAAAACGGTCGTTTGCGTTACTGTTTAGTGTCATATAGACCGTTCGGCCACACGAGGACGACCGAATACGGCACTAAACGACTGCGGAAACGATAACGGGTCCCAAGGTGGATAGAACGGCATACGCAACGCTCTGGGGGGTCCAACGGCTCCGTGTGTATGCCCTATAATACGATCATTTTCTGATAATGATGAGGCAATAGCCCCGCCTCTCCCCACCTCTGCTGCTCACCCCTGCGTCAAAGTAAACTGCACACTGAATTCAGATGATTTATCTTTCTCTAGATATGGACCTAAACGCGAGTGAAGTCTAATCTGACAGGACGGAGACACGCAGCTCTGCTCACCTGCAGCTCCTCCCGCTGTGATGCGGCGGTGAACGGAGTAAAACACACAGTTCAAGTCCGATCATCACCCTTAGCTATTTTAATTACCTCTCAAACTACCTAAACTAGATATAAATATGTTTATTTTTACTGTCGGACGGGTCACTCATTGCTGGATCAGCTGCTGCATGAAACAGACACTGGCGCTGTCCGAAGAGAGGGAGGAAAAAGAGAGGCTCCGTGTATTTTATTATTATAATATATAGATTCGTTATTCATTTGTTTTAAAGCTCAATAAATAACAAAGAAGACCTTTGACCGGCACTTTTATAATTTTGTCGGAAGATTTAAACTTTAATACACGTTGACTGGCGAAAAACTCTGCCCGGTTCCCTCGGCCCCCACCGCGGAGAATAAACAGAAGGGCAACCATGACAACCATGCTTCTTCGATGCTTTTGTGGAGGGAGTTACAGTGCCACGTACAGGCTCCTGCATATGTACTGCAGCTTCTCCAGCGGTTGGAGCTAAACGGAGCTGTCTCGTGTGGACAGACACTATCCGGATGACTATTGCGTGTGGATGGAAGCTTTTTTGCGATTGCGTTTGCGTTAATCCTATGCGTTTAGCCGTTTTCGTCCTCGTGTGGCCGGGGCATTAGACGTCCAGCTCTTAGCCTGATCAGACGGACGGGGATCACTTTCATTGTTGGGGATCTTGTCCTGCTTAAGAGATATTTAAGCTTTTTTAAAGTGGGGGTGTATGGAGGCTATTTTGTCAGCATCTGGTGCTAGCTGCACTAACGGACATAAGGATCTCTTTCCACAACAAGCTGGAGGACAGTCCTCTCCTGTCAGACTGAGAGACTCAGGTGAGCTAAAGGGCTCTCTGAGTGTTTAGATAGTTAACAACAGTTATCTCAGTTGGTCTCAAACGGTTTGGTCACGAATTATATAAAAGATTATTTCTGAGGCACACCTTCATAATCATTATAGTTATAAAAAAAATAAGGGAATAAATGAAAAACAGTTATGACAGTAAATATGACAGTAAAACAAGAATACAGTTTAAAAGGGGAGTGATTTGTAAAAGTATCCATAAAGAAAAAGAAAATCTGTTTACAGTTCTGTTTCATATGGGTGTTGAGAGATGTATCCATAGATCTCTTAATTTTGCTCTCAAAGTGCAACAGATTGATGCTTTTAACTTCAATATTTAAAAAACAAATCTCGGGGGACCCCCCTAGAGGAGGTGAGGACCCCCCTAGAGGATGTTAGGTCCGCCCCCCACGTTTAAAAAAATAGCACTTTACCCCTGCTTACACCTATATGCCGTGAGCTAATTATCGAGCCTTCATTGTAACCAGTGACGTGCAGTCAGGGGAGGCAGGGGAGGCAGAGCCTCACCTGTCATACTCCAATGTAACGGAAAAACAACTAAAGAAAAACTAAATAGTAATAATAATAACATGTCTCCACTGATCTGTGTTGTAAGTGTGATTTATGTTTGATTCCAATCGCTTCTTATAGTCAAAATCAGCAAATTTGCCGAGCTCCGCTACAACTACGGGTAGCGATGAGGAGTGAGGCAGGGACGAGCTCTGCCTCACGTAAGCCCACGTAAGCCCACGTAAGCTCACAGTAACTGGCTGGAGCGCGGGCACTAATTTAACGCGGGCACTTATTTTGTGAGCGCGCTCCAGCCAGTTACTGTGGGGTGAGGTGAGGCACAGATGAGCTCTGCCTCACCTCAGAATCCGTCACCCCACAGAAACTGGCTGGAAAGCGGGCCCTAAGCGCATGCCTGCACCATCTCACTGTATGTCACCAATGTAATGTTTGTAGATCCCTTTATTACATGTATCCTCGCCATCCATAGTCTCTAAATAACTTATTTCACGTATATATGATATTTAGGCTCGCTGGTCTCATCATACAACGGCAATGAAAAAAGCACCGTGGGAGGCAGGCATAACCTCTGCCGCACTGAAGGGGGCGCAAGTGAGCCCACAGGTTCTTGTTGCTACTGTTATTCTACGCAGGTAGACGCGAACAACAAACTAGACTTTTGAAACGAGAGGAAGATAAGGAGGACTTTTACAAAAAACTAATAGAGATTGTTGTCCAGAAGGATAGCATGGACTTCATCTTCAAGTCAAGGTAAGACCACCATTGTAATGCAAATGGCATCTTACTAAGAAAGAACAATCCATCCATCCATCCATCCATCCATCTTCTCCCGCTTATCCGTGGTCGGGTCGCGGGGGTAGCAGTTCCAGCAGAGAGCCCCAAACTTTCTTTTCCCTGGCGACATCAACCAGCTCTGACTGGGGGATCCCAAGGCGCTCCCAGGCCAGCGAAGAGATATAATCCCTCCACCTGGTCCTAGGTCTACCCCTTGGTCTCTTCCCAGCTGGACGTGCCTGGAAACACCTCCCTAGGGAGGCGCCCAGGTGGCATCCTAACTAGGTGCCCGAACCACCTCAACTGGCTCCTTTCGACGCGAAGGAGGAGCGGCTCAACTCCGAGTCCCTCCCTGATGACCGAACTTCTCACCTTATCCCTAAGGGAGACACCAGCCACCCTGCGGAGAAAACCCATCTCGGCCGCTTGTATCCGCGATCTCGTTCTTTCGGTCCCGCTGCTCCGATTCTAAGGCCCATCTCACGCTCCATTGTTCCCTCACTCGAGAACAAGACCCCGAGATACTTGAACTCCTTCACTTGGGGTAAGGACTCATTCCCTACTTGAAGTGGACAGTCCATCGGTTTCCTGCTGAGAACCATGGCCTCAGATTTGGAGGTGCTGATCCTCATCCCAGCCGCTTCACACTCAGTTGCGAACCGATCCAGTGAGTGCTGAAGGTCGCAGACCGATGAAGCCATTAGAACCACATCATCTGCAAAAAGCAGTGGTGCAATCCTTAGTCCACCGAACTGCAGACCCCCTCCCCCATGACTACGCCTCGAAATCCGATCCATGTTACAAACAGGATTGGTGACAAAGCGCAGCCCTGGCGGAGGCCAACCCTCACCGGAAATGGGTCCGACTTACTGCCGAGGACCCGGACACAGCTCTCGCTTTGGGAGTACAGAGATTGGATGGCCCTGAGTAGAGACCCCCTCACCCCATACTCCCGCAGCACCTCCCACAGTAACTCCCTAAGAAAGAACAATCCAATATTTAAATTGTGGGTAGGCCTATCCTTTTGTTGAACGGTCTGTTTAAAATGAATTGAAGCATCAGACTAAAAAAGCTTTTCAAAATAACCGAATATTTCGATTAAGGTCAAAATATAATATTTGTAAATCTGACTCTGAAAGAGTCAGTGCCTCACCAGCCATGAACCTCACCGCACGTCACTGATTGTAACAGTCGAGGGTGTACTGTGTATGTGCGTGTGGGTAGTGTTGCAGTAGAACATTCCACTGTAGCGCCCGGTACCTTAATGGGAAACCCTACATGCACCCTATATGAAATGTCAAGCCACCCCACAGCACCCCCAAAAGAAAATCTCTGGCGCCGGCGCCACTGTGGGCTATGCCCCTAATGTTTCCAGGTCCAGGAAACGCCCCTGTAGACAGGGCTACTTCAATATGTATTCAAGCCCGCTAAAAGAAAAGTCTATGTAAATAAATGAATACGTCTAAAGTTTTGGTGGTTAATCTTTTCCAAAAACAGTTGTGTATATTTTTAGAAATTCTCTTTAAATCCCTACGGCAATTATTAAGTCTGGAAAACACATGTATATGTGGTTGTCGCAGGACTGTGTGTCCAATCATGTAACCTTCTTATTCTGTTCTATACATCCATGACCTCCACGCGCCAAATGATGTGAGCTACCTGTCTGCGCGCACTCATGGCGCATCACCGGCGTCTTCCACAAGCTGCTAGCAGGACAGCAGTGAGTACAAGAAATAGCCATGTTAGTCGTTTATGGTCTTCATGATAAGTGTACAGATTGTAACTGTTGCCAACTTCGCAACTTTTTTAGAAGTTAGTGGCTTTGGAGCAAGTACGGCTAGCTACTTTCATTGGAAAGTCTCTTTAAACAGTGAACAGTGGATGGTCGAACTGGGGTTACGTACTGTAACCCAGCTTCTATGAGTATAGGCGCAGCCCTCTAAGGCTATCGCTATTGGGTAATCCCACTGCACGTGTGCAGCACTGACAGACTTAATCCACGCCCACCTATGACGTGGGCCCCACCTACGGACTCACTTCCGTATAAATAGGAAGTAGTCCCTACAATCTGCTCCCACACAAACAGCTTTTCTTCAGCTATTCGCGGAGTCAGTGGGGCCCGAACCTTAGAGGGCTGCGCCTATACTCATAGAAACTGGGTTACAGTACGTAACCCCAGTTCTATTTCGTATAAGGCTTCGCCCTCTAAGGCTATCGCTATTGGGTTAAGGGCGAAGCAGGATGTAGTCCACGCCCCACTGGTCCGTCCGTTACCAGAAGCACAGAAACACACCTACTCAATTAATAACCCCTGTCCATTTCGCCATGCGTAAATGGAGCATCACATTCCCAGGGAATATAGCATTTAAAAAATGAATATTCTCCATACGGGAAAGAAGGTAGGCTAAATAGGCTACCTGTAAAAAGTAGAGACCAAAGTCCCA